TTTATCCCCAACTAGCAGCTTTGACTTTTAGGAACCATCCTGGGACTCAGAGCATCTTTAACCAGAGCCCCAAAAGCAATTTTTGCAAGTTGCTGACATGGTCAGAAACAAATATTTTCATTGGAATGAGATAGTACTGGGAGATATATTTGAAAATAATTGTATTACTTTTGTTGAAAGTGGCTTATCTTCATATCTAAAAATTCAACCAATAGTGAAAAATACGAGGAAGAAAGTAAAAATAGCTTACACTAAACACCTCCTCCCCCACAAATACAGAAGGAAGAAGGGAAAAAGAGGGAGATTATACTACATATACTTTTTTGAAATTAAAAGTATTAGAATTTAATTGAATTTGAAGTGGAACTATAAGACTTGCTGAATTTTGATAATTGCTTCCTCCAAAGAAGAGAAATTGGTTTCTAAAAGTACAAAAAATGTATTATAAAATGCATAAAGGGTTTGGAGTTACTGAGGTAGTGTTTTTGTACTATATGTTTTAAATTTGATCTAAACTTTGGACCTGGCATTTGTTTTAATCAGGTATGGTATGACATAGAGACCTGCAAATGATTCTCATGAAGGAATGTACTCACAGATGCCTAATAGCAGGACATGTGGCACACCACACAAAGCCCCTTAGGGAAGGACCAGGGTGGGTCAGAAGGTAGAAGTGGTGAGGGGAATGATGGCCCCAAGCCTTTACTGGGGTTTTCTTGGGAAGGAAAGGTAGAGGCAGGGTAGGTACCCTGAGTATGTTTAGAGTTGGCTAGTGTGAATAATTTTGGCAGGTTCTAGGCCCCCAGTTGTCAGGTACTGGCCCTGGGGTGATTTAGGGGGAGTACTGGCTTGGTGTGTGAAAATTTGATAAAGGCGATGTTTGCAGGTATGGGTTCTGTATTGGTTGGTTTGTATTTCAAAGACGCACTTGAAGGAGAGTTGTTTCCTAACTCTAAGAATCAGCTAGCCTTGAGAGGGGCTGTCTCTCCAGGATTAAGTCATCAAGTGACAGAACATCAAGAATACAGAAGATAAGAATATTTAGTCACTACAGTGGTAGCTACTGACTTCCTGCAGGAAAAGATGAGAATGGCCGAATATCTTCCCACCTTCACGTTTCTTCCTACCTTTCCATTTCTACCTCTACACATCTTGAATTCTTCTTTGTACATCGTCAAGGTTATAACATTTACATTCCATTCTGTAATTATGGTTTCCACAGTTATTTAGCCTTAGACTTAAATGTAAAAGGATCTCACGTTCACCACTGGTCCTTTTACCATGGTTCATATTTCCCAAATTTATTCTGATTTATGTCTTGTTTAGCTGGATTTTGTTTTCCAACAATTTTCCATAAAGAGTTCAGAGGTGCTATATTCCCTGAGTTCTATCACATTTGAAAATTTTGTCTTAATTATTGAAGGACATCTTGCATGGTTATAAAATTCTTGGGCGACTGTTTTCCTTGGAACTGTGTAGATGTTGCTCCACTGTATTCAAAGTTATGGAGAAGGCTGGGACCAGCTGATTTCTAGCACCTCTTAATCTTCACTTTCCCTTGTAGATGTCTGCCTTTTTTTTTTGTATGAAGCATTTGAATATATTTTTCAACATGATGTGGTCTGTCAACCCGAAGCGTTCAACTTTCCCCTCAAGTGAGGAAAATTTTTCTTCTGTTATATCTTTGAATATGTCCTTTGTTCCATTTGTTTTGTTCACTACTTTGGAGACGACATAACGCATAGATTGATCATCAGTGTCTCAACTCCAGGTCCATTATTTTATCTCTATATACTTCAATCTTTCTTTCCTTCTTTGCATTCCTTATGGTTACCCAATCTCTACCACCCTCCTGTAATTGCATTTAAAGCTATATCTGCTTTATTCCTTCATTTTTCCAATAAATTGGTTGGTTGTATATTTCCCAATTTCTTGATTAGTCCTTTTATTTTGGTCTTCAATTTGATTCCTTAAATAGCAATCATCTTCCATCTTTGCATGATCTTCTCATCCCAACTCTAATTTCTTAATTTTTTTTCAAGTTCTTATTTTTTCTAGAGTCAAAGTATTTATGGTATATATTTTGCACAGAAGTGTACTTTTGCATTTTTTGATGTGTTTCTTGCAACTATGTTTCCATCCTGACATCTGTCTCCTTCAAGTTTCCCTTTTCCTTCCTTTCTACCATCCTTCCTCTTTTGTCTGTAGTATTTTTGTATAGTTGCCATGCCATCTGTTTTCGTTTTCTTTCTTTCTGATTTGTACATTTCTACCTTGATTCCTTTTCCCTAGATATATTGTATTGTAAGTTAATTTTTGTTGACTCCTTCCCACCTTAGCTGAGATCTCTTTGCCTTCCCTTTAGTGCTTTAGTTGAGGATTGTATATTTTGTGTTTGTTTTGTTACTGCTTGGGTGGTGGGGAAAAGGGGAAGTTAAGATAGAGCTGTTTGTAGAATTGGTTTCTGCTCTTTTTCCATAACTCTCTTCATAGTCCAAAACATGAGTTTGTTATACCAAATTGGGGGCACATCTTATTCCTTTGGAGGTTGGTTAGTAGTGGGTTTCAGATTGTTTCACCAATTTGGGTTGGAATTGTAGAGACAGGCTGTCCGTGGGTTTATTTTCTAGATTTGACCCAATGCTTCCCAACAGCCTCTCACTCCTCTGCCAGGAAAGGAAGGGAAAAAAAAGACAATTCCAAGGAGTTTAGCCACTGGTTTTCAGGAGTTGGGGGAGAACATGGTATTTGGGGCTTTCCATGTGTCTCCTGCCATTCACTCCTTCAGAGGGGCATGTTTTATTTACTTTATCTTTAGTCTTCCTTCCTTATAAATCCCTTCATATCATTCAAGATAATCCACTCTGTACAATCATTCTGACTTTCCTCTCTTCTTCTCATCAGTAAGAAAAGCAAAATGGCAGGCAGCCCAGGCGGTTTTTTTCTCTCTTTGAAATGCTGGCAAGATGGAATGGCGAACCTTCTATTCTAGGGAAACTTTCTGAATCTCCTCTGACAACTGCCTACTTGCCCCCTCCATCCCTTTCCCTCTCTATTCTGTAGTGTTGCACTCTTTGTAAGAATTTTTTCTCTCCCATCTTCCTTTCAATACTGTTTCTTTGGAGAAGAAGAAAGGGCTATCATGGGTGGAAGCCCTACATTTATTCCTAGTCATGTTTATTATTTCTGTAGTCAATGTTTTTAAAGACTATTGCCTTTTCTTGTATCTTAGAGTTTCTGGTATATTTTTTCTTTGTTCTGAAGTGTTTTGTTGTTAATTTGGTTGAATTCAAGAGAAAGGAGGTTGGTTCCTGGAACCCACCAATTCTGGCATTACTCTTCAGGCACCATTTTGGGAAACTTTTCTAGGCAAAAACCCTGGTATGGATTTCACTTGATTATTAGACCTCACATGTTTCAATCATCCTATAGATATCTCAGGAGTTTGCTGCTCAGTTGACTCTTTTTTGAGTGTGATAGGGATACAAACATAAAGGTAGAATGATGCCAGGGGTGCTACAAGGTTTACCACAGAAACCTTGTCAGAGAGCTATAAATGCCAGGACAGAACCACAGAGGTAACAGGTAGCTAAGATAACTTCTAGTTCAATCTTATATCCAAAGAAGAGTTGCTAACTGACCCATCTCTGACAGATGATCCTTCAACTCACTTGGATACCTTGAGTACCAAGGAATCCATGCCTACCATTCTCTTATTGGCAAGTTCAAAGTATTTAAATATATTTTACCTTGAGCCAAACTAGATATCCTCTTGTTTCTTCATGGTCTCCCTTGGTGAGACTTCTTTTTATTCACATGATTCCCAATCTTAACTCTTTAGGTGGCTACAACTATGCCTATAGTCCTGGTCTCTAGCCTAGCCTAGGATCCTGGAAAATGACTGAGCAGATTGGAAACATACTAGGTTAAAATCCATGAGAAAGAGTAAAACATGGATAAATATGAAGTTCTGCATGCAAATGGAAAGTAACCATTGTACAGGATGAGGATGCCTGATTTGGGTCAACTAAAGAGGTTGAGAGTTTTGCTTAATGCTAAGTATACTGTAAGCCTGTAGTCAGGCATACAAAATCTGTGCCGCATGGATAACAAACATCAATGCCAGGGACATTTACCAAAGTCCTCCTGTGCTAAGAGCTTGTTAGAGAACATCTGGGCCTCTGGAACAGCAACAAATCAGAATGTGTGCAGGAATGGGATGGTGTCTAGAGACCATGGGCCACAGTGGACCACAGTGAGCTGTTGGAAAAATGGAGTCTGGAGAAGAGAAGCTTTAGAGAGGCACAGGAGCTATTTTCAAACAGAGAAAGATTTATGGAAAAGAGAATACTTGGTTTGTTCATTCTGTCTTCAAAGCACAGACCCAAGATAGTTTTAGAAGGTTAAAAAACAAAAAGCTGTTCATTGTCTCTGTTGACTAGGAGGCACTTATGTTTCTGAGATCTGTAAAAGATCTAGCAACCTTAGGTTTACTCTGGAAAATCTCTTATCTATGGGGTATGGAATCAGATGCTAATTTCTAAGTAGTATACAGAATATAGAACAATTTAATTTATCTGAGGAGGAATAATTGCACAACAGGTCTCCTGAGAAGCCTGCCAAGGAGTAGGTTTTTTCCCCAAACATTATAGCCAAAGAGCCAACCAGCTTCCAATTGCCAGCTTAATACTGTGGGAAGCAAAGGGAAGAACATAACATTTGAAGCAGGTAGACCTTGAAGTCTGGCCATGCCATTTGCTAGTTCTGTAATCTTGAGCAAGTGACTTAACCTTCCTGAGCCTTGGCTTTTCCACATGTAAAATGGGATGACTAAATTCTAGCTTATTGTGAGGATAATGTAAGATAACAAATAAAAAACCCATAACATAGAACTGGATACTTATAAATGTTAAAGCTCTTCCTTGCCCCCTGAAGCTAACTGCCAACACTACTACTGTGATTTCAAAGAGACATTTCATAAGTAAGCACTTTTTTTTCAGGGCTTTCTTCTGAACTCTCCCCAGCTATTGAGGAAGAAGAGTCAAAGAGTGGCCTAGATGTCATGCCTAATATTTCTGATGTGCTGCTGCGCAAACTGCGGGTCCACAAGAGTCTCCCTGGAAGGTAAAATCAGGATGTGGGTTACAGAAGACCCTGTACGGAGTGGCCCCTGTGTTGGATTCTAGGTAGGACACAGAGGAACACCAGTATTAATTCTTGAGCCCAGAAGGGCCAAAGTCCAATTGTCTAGATAGGGATAATGCATTCAAAACAAAAAGAATAATGAAAGGCCAGGCTGAGTGTTTTCAACTCAAAGACCAGGTGGGGTTCTTAGGTGGGCACAGCTCATGAAGGCATGAAGGTCACCAGAAGCTCATGGCAGCAGAGAATGGACTTTGAGCCAGGAGACATGGGTTTCAATCCCAGATACACCATTTACCCATGACTAGTTAAGTTTTCAAAGCTTTTTTGTAGAGATAGGGTCTTGCTATGTTGCCCAAGATAATCTCAAACTCTTGGCCTCAAGTGATCCTTCTACCTCAGCCTCCCAAAGTACAAATAACATTTAAGTAACCAAATGAATGATTTGAAAAAGTAAAGTTGGTAGAAAGACCATGAAATAGGGCACATCTAGAGAATAGCATGGGAGTGGGACATTGGATAGGAGGTCAAGGAAGGCCTCTGTGATAAAGTAATAATTTGAGATGTGCAAATGACAAATGACAAAAAGAAGCCACTCATGCAAGGGTTTTGGTAACATTTACAGAGGAAAAAATCATAATTTTAACAAATGGTGCTGGGACAACTGGATAGCCACATACAAAAGAGTGAAGTTGGACCCCTACCTCACACAAAACACACCAATTAACTCATAATGGATCATAGACCTAAATGTCAGAGAGAACACTATAAGACTCTTCAAAGAAAAAATGTAAGTCTTCATGTCTTTGGGTTTTTTAGATACGGCACCAAAAACACAAGAGACAAGATTTTAAAAATAAATAGTACTTCCTCAAAATAAAAACTTCTGTGCTGCAAACAGTGTCAAGAAAGTGAAAGGCAACCCACAGAATGAAATATTTGCAAATCACTTATCAGAAAAGGAACTTGTTTCTAGAGCATATAAAGAAGTCTTACAACTCAATAAAAAGATAAATAACCAATTTTTCAAAATGGGGAAAGGATTTAAATAGACATTTCTTCAGAGAAGATATACAAATGGTCACATAAAAAGATGCTCTGTCCTTTTAGAGGCTCACAGTTCTGCCCCCGGGTACCTATGCTCATTTATGAGGCACAGTTATCTGTATCAGACACCAGACATGCCATGTAGCTTCTCTGCCTAAATCATACTTCTCTGAGTCCTCAGAGCTTCCTCCCGACCCCCACTTTTTTTTTAAGGTGGGTATATTCTATCTGGCTGTGGTGGCTCACACACCTGTAATCCCAGCACTTTGTAGGCTCGAGGCAAGAGGATCACTTGAGGCCAAGAGTTTAAGACCAGCCTGGACAACAGAGTGAAATTCTGTTTCTACAGAAATAAAAAATAAAAGAAAAAATTAGCCAGGTGCAGTGGCATGCACCCATAGTCCCAGCTACTCTGGTGGCTGAGACAGGAGGATTGCTTGAACCCAGGAGTTCAAGGCTGCAGTAAGCCACCTCTGCAGTGATCCTGCCACTGCACTCCAGCCTGGGCAGCAGAGCAAGACCCTGTCCCCAAAAATAAATAAATAAAATAAAAATAAGGTGGGTGTCTTCTATAGCAAAAAAGCAGAATGTTAGTCATTGAAATAGAAAAATGTTTGGTTTATAATTTACAAAAATACGTACATTTCACATAATATCCCAACAAACCCAGGAGTCAGAAACAAACCTGGCAAGTTTTGCCAAATCATTTAAATCACATGTGTATGCTGTAGATGACAGTTAAGGCAAGGGTCTGATGGGTGTGACAAGAACTGTAAGCATCAAACATCCCTGCAGCTGTTTGTCCCATGTTCTGGACTCTGCTGACTTCATGGCCATGGGGTCTTGTCACCTCATCCTGACAGGAAGGCACTCATATCATTCCCTCGGGGTGAGAACCAGCCCCTTGCAGAGATGGCTGACCCTTACCTTTGCTCTTGGGGTCCCTTCACACCCGTTCAAGAGAGGAAGCTGTGTTTCCTGAGAAGCTTATCAATGGCATGCTCTGTTGCCAAGTCCTGTGATGCTGGTAGGACCCCTCCCAAGCCTCCCCGCCCCAGCACAGGAAAGGGCCTGTGTATTATTTACATTGTCTGGGCTTCAGATGGGACCAGCTTTAGTTACCAGCAAGAGCAGCAGCAGCAGCAACACCGAGTGGACGTGCAGATACAGGGACTGCCTATGGCTGGAGAGCCCTGGCTGTGGGAATGGCACAGAGGAGGAGCTGCTCAAAAGGACACCTCTGTGTCGGCTGGGGCTTTCTTGCCACTCTGTAATTCTAGCCATCAGAAGTTCTTGCTGTGGAGAAGAACCCTGGTCACTCTCTCCTACCATTTATTCTCTGGCCTGAATGCACCTTTGTCATGGCCCTCAGACAGAGGAGGGTGAGGCTTTGCAGACCTGGGTGGATATCCCCAGAACAACTACAATGGCAACTTAGATGTGTGTGAGTTATCAAGTCCTTATCACAGGCATTTTCTTATTTCTCACAGCAAGGCTGTAAGTTCATAGTTAACATGAACAGGTCACATTTTCTGAGAGCCCACTGAGTGTGGATGCCATATATTTATGCATACAAACACATATACATATATACATGAGTACGTATAGTGCTTATAGCACCTCTGTAAGGTAGGTGATATGATTCCCATTTTGCAGATGAGCAAGCCCGGGCTTAGAGAGATTAAATAACTTGTCCAAAGTCACAGAGATAGTTGTGGTGCTGTACGAGTCAGTATCTCACAGGTGACAGAGCACAGGCAAGGGGACATTGCATCTTTTCCTTCTCACCAACACAGCTTACTCCACCCCGGGAAACACATGGTCTGCTGGTCATTCAGAGTCACCTTTGGGTCTATTGACTAGGTTGTATAAAGTTCAACTGTGTGTTTTCTTTTTCACAGTGCCCCTCCACTCACTGAAAAGGAAGTTGAGGTAAGTGGCTCAAGTGTGTTATGAAATTTAGTGCCTGTGCTTGACTGGGCTTATTTAAAACATTTCTTCCTCCAGACTCTAGCCCTTACATTTTTAGACAAAAATGAGAAAGAGTGACTGTGGGATAATATGAACATTCATGACCAGCCCTCTTGAACCATGAGATCCCCATTCCCACATCCGTTCATGGAAGATTTTGACAAATTTGGGCAGAGGGGAGAAGGTAGCTGGAAATTTTACATTTCTGTAAGGATCGTTTATATTCTTTAAATGTGCGACTTAGATACACAAAACCAGCTGGGAGCCTGCAGAATTGTTTCAAATTTATTTCAAAATTACTGAACAATGATCAGATTTCAAGTTCTAAGCTTTGGTTTAGTGGGAAAGGGGGCTGGCCACCTCAGGGTTTCAGCTACAAGAATGCCAGCTCAGCGGAGCCAGGAAGCTGTGCTGTCAGCAATCCAGCCTTCCCTGATTCCTCACTGGGGCCTCCTTGTCCCAGCAGGGTTGTGAGAGAGCTGAGGGGAATCTGCATTTCATTCTGTGGTGGACAAAGAGAACTTATCAGAGGTGAGACAGTGAGAACCGCTGATGTGGACCAGATGAGCAGAGGAAGACAGACAGTATGAAGTATCTACCGCAGATAGTATCAATAACTTGCACATAGGCATTGCACTTGCGGTCTATAACACACTCATAGCCATCCTTTCAGCTGATCCTCCCAGCAGCTCTGAAAAGAAGCAAGAATCAGCACAAAAGAGGAAATTGAGTGAGTAAATAACCGCACCAAGTTTCTAGATACTGTAGTTGGCAAAACCAAGACCTGGATCCGAGTGTTCTCACTGAATTCAGAACTTGTTTTGTCACACTGCTGTTAAGGGGTAATCAAAGTATAGAAAATTAAGCATTGAGCATTATTCATAGACTTGGCCAAGTCAGGATAAGGCGGAAAATTTCCATCACTGGGCTATGAGTTCAAAGCCCACCCCCTGACATTTGTGAAGATGGGCCACGGGCGGTTTGTTTAATGTCCAAATGCTGACCACAGATGTATATGGACACAGCTTTCAGCACGGTGGAAATAAAACAGGCTTCAAATCAGATAGTCAGAGGTGAAATCCTGGCTCCATTACTCCCTGTGTCACCTTGAACAAGTTAATGATGTTTCTGGTCTTGGTCTCTTTACCCATGAACAGGTATAACAGTTCCCACCCCAGAGGGTTATTGTGAGATCACATGAATTTGTAGAGTGAATAGCAGTGCTGGCATATAGTAGATGCTCAACAAGGAGTAGTTTTCAATATTGCCATAAACATCGTCATTGGGTCAATTCTGTGCCTTCAGTTCTGTATCTGGAGATGATTGCCTTCCATGGGCCATGTTACATGAACTTCACAAGCCCCTGTGGTTACTGACCCCGCAGGGTATAAATCTGCTACCACTCAGGGCAGATGATGGCTAAAAAATTGAAGACCATTGCTTCCTTCCTGAGTGACGTCCATCTGTCTATTTCTTCTCCCTAGTAGTTTCCTACTATTCCGGGAATTCCATGTATAACCAATACTACCTTTTCAAAGTCTGTTCATGCAGCCTGCAATTTTGGCATGAAATATTTATTTATTCCAGAAAGCTTAACCTAACAGAATCATACCTGGCCTTATTTAATATCCTGGCAGCTACTTAAAGCTCCTATCGATATACAATTTGGAATACTCGGGCTAGATGCTGGTTGAAGTTTGCTTTAAGTCACCAATGCTTAAATCTCACACGGAGTTTCTTTCAACACAGTATTTTCATGCAAAATCTCCAAAACCCCCCATGCAATAAATCCCAGCATAAATCTAAATGCTTACACAATTAGCTGTGTTGGCCTGAGTTTATCTAAATCCAGATACAGGATGTTATTTTCTTAAAATTCAGGGAAAAGTGAAGTGTTATTCTCTTATTTTTTGGTAGAATACATTTGGCCCTCTAATTCTGGGAAGGGCCTAGCATGGGCCTTGGGTTACTGCTTTACCATCTTTTTTGTGGTTTCCTATGAAGTGAGCATTTCACTTGCACATGGCTGCTTTGGCAGCTGGTTCCAGGGACTGCCGCAAAATGCTCGTACAAGGAACACACCTGTAGCCTTGTCCTCTGCAATAACTCCTCCTAGCACCTCTCTCACACTCTTGTTCCCAACAGAACGTGTTTGTACAACTGTCCTTGGCCTTTAGAAATGACAGCTACACTCTGGAATCTAGAATTCACCAGGCTGAAAGGGAACGCAACCTGACAGAGGAGAACACTGAGAAGGAACTGGAAAACTTCAAAGCTTCCATTACGGTAATTGTGGAGCCTGATGTGAGGAATCCTTGGAGCAGGAACTGTCTCCAAGGGCCATACAGGGTGTCATCCTTCTCTCAGGTACCAAGTAGAGTCTCCTGAAGTGAAAAATTGAGCCAAGACTCTGACAGAGTGTTCCTCAGAGAGCTGGGGGGAACTGAGGCAGAGATCCCAAAGGCCTGGTTCCCCCAGGGCTGTGGGCAAGTCCTCCGAACCCTTGGGAGCTTCTCAGAAGGGGGCAGGGTGGCCTGGGTATGACTCCTCCTTTCAGACCAGCCAGGGATAGTGTGTTCACATCGAGCTTCTCCAAGCACCAGAAGAAACTGTGGCCCAGGCCTGGCAGAGGCCACTTCTCTCAGCCTGGACGGGGCCCAGAGCTGGTTTCATGAGAGCTTAGTCTAGGCTTGGTGTGTGTCTTAGTGAGTTTGAGTTGCTGTAACAAAGGGCCATGGACTGGGTGGCTTAAATGGCAAACCTTTATTTCTCATAGTTCTGGAGGCTGGAAGTCCAAGATCAGGGCACCAGCACGGTCGGGTTCTGGTGAGGGCCCTCTCTGGCTTGCAGACTACCACCTTTCCATTATATCCTACATGGTGGAAAGAGAACAGAACTCTCTGGGGTCCCTTTTATAAGAGCACTAATTACATTCACGGGGGCTCCACCCTCCTCACCTAATCACCTCGCCCAGGCCCCACTTCCCTATCACATTGAGGAGTTAGGATATGTCCCCCCAAAAGTCAGCAGATGATTTTGTGGGGGGCACATTTAGCCCAGTGGTCCCCAACCCCTGGGCTGGGCCGCAAACCAGTACCGAACCATAGCCTGTTAAGAACCAGGCTGCGGAAGATGGCCGAATAGGAACAGCTCCAGTCTCCAACTCCCAGCGCGAGCGACACAGAAGACCGGTGATTTCTGCATTTTCAACTGAGGTACTGGGTTCATCTCACTGGGGAGTGCCGGACGATCGGTGCTGGTCAGCTGCTGCAGCCCGACCAGCGAGAGCTGAAGCAGGGCAAGGCATTGCCTCACCTGGGAAGCACAAGGGGGAAGGGAATCCCTTTTCCTAGCCAGGGGAACTGAGACACACAACACCTGGAAAATCGGATAACTCCCACCCCAATACTGCGCTTTAAGCAAACAGGCACACCAGGAGATCATATCCCACACCTGGCCGGGAGGGTCCCACACCCACGGAGCCTCCCTCATTGCTAGCACAGCAGTCTGTGATCTACCTGCAAGGCAGCAGCAAGGCTGGGGGAGGGGCGCCCGCCATTGCTGAGGCTTAAGTAGGTGAACAAAGCCGCTGGGAAGCTCGAACTGGGTGGAGCTCACAGCAGCTCAAGGAAACCTGCCTGTCTCTGTAGACTCCACCTCTGAGGACAGGGCACAGTAAACAATAACAAACACAGCCGAAACCTCAGCAGACGCAAACGACTCTGTCTGACAGCTTTGAAGAGAGCAGTGGATCTCCCAACACGGAGGTTGAGATCTGAGAAGGGACAGACTCCCTGCTCAAGTGGGTCCCTGACCCCTGAGTAGCCTAACTGGGAGACATCCCCCACTAGGGGCAGTCTGACACCCCACACCTCACAGGGTGGAGTACACCCCTGAGAGGAAGCTTCCAAAGCAAGAATCAGACAGGTACACTCGCTGTTCAGAAATATTCTATCTTCTGCAGCCTCTGCTGCTGATACCCAGGCAAACAGGGTCTGGAGTGGACCTCAAGCAATCTTCAACAGACCTACAGCTGAGGGTCCTGACTGTTAGAAGGAAAACTATCAAACAGGAAGGACACCTACACCAAAACCCCATCAGTACATCACCATCATCAAAGACCAGAGGCAGATAAAACCACAAAGATGGGGAAAAAGCAGGGCAGAAAAGCTGGAAATTCAAAAAATAAGAGCGCATCTCCCCCGGCAAAGGAGCGCAGCTCATTGCCAGCAACGGATCAAAGCTGGATGGAGAATGACTTTGACGAGATGAGAGAAGAAGGCTTCAGTCCATCAAATTTCTCAGAGCTAAAGGAGGAATTACGTACCCAGCGCAAAGAAACTAAAAATCTTGAAAAAAAAGTGGAAGAATTGATGGCTAGAGTAATTAATGAAGAGAAGGTCATAAACGAAATGAAAGAGATGAAAACCATGACACGAGAAATACGTGACAAATGCACAAGCTTCAGTAACTGACTCGATCAACTGGAAGAAAGAGTATCTGCGATTGAGGATCAAATGAATGAAATGAAGCGAGAAGAGAAACCAAAAGAAAAAAGAAGAAAAAGAAATGAACAAAGCCTGCAAGAAGTATGGGATTATGTAAAAAGACCAAATCTACGTCTGATTGGGGTGCCTGAAAGTGAGGGGGAAAATGGAACCAAGTTGGAAAACACTCTTCAGGATATCATCCAGGAGAACTTCCCCAACCTAGTAGGGCAGGCCAACATTCAAATCCAGGAAATACAGAGAACGCCACAAAGATACTCCTCGAGAAGAGCAACTCCAAGACACATAATTGCCAGATTCACCAAAGTTGAAATGAAGGAAAAAATCTTAAGGGCAGCCAGAGAGAAAGGTCGGGTTACCCACAAAGGGAAGCCCATCAGACTAACAGCAGATCTCTCAGCAGAAACTCTCCAAGCCAGAAGAGAGTGGGGGCCAATATTCAACATTCTTAAAGAAAAGAATTTTCAACCCAGAATTTCATATCCAGCCAAACTAAGTTTCATAAGTGAAGGAGAAATAAAATCCTTTACAGATAAGCAAATGCTTAGAGATTTTGTCACCACTAGGCCTGCCTTACAAGAGACCCTGAAGGAAGCACTAAACATGGAAAGGAACAACTGGTACCAGCCACTGCAAAAACATGCCAAAATGTAAAGACCATCGAGGCTAGGAAGAAACTGCATCAACTAACAAGCAAAATAACCAGTTAATATCATAATGGCAGGATCAAGTTCACACATAACAATCTTAACCTTAAATGTAAATGGACTAAATGCTCCAATTAAAAGACACAGACTGGCAAACTGGATAAAGAGTCAAGACCCATCAGTCTGCTGTATTCAGGAGACCCATCTCACACGCAGAGACATACATAGGCTCAAAATAAAGGGATGGAGGAAGATTTACCAAGCAAATGGAGAACAAAAAAAAGCGGGGGTTGCAATCCTAGTCTCTGATAAAACAGACTTTAAACCATCAAAGATCAAAAGAGACAAAGAAGGCCATTACATAATGGTAAAGGGATCAATTCAACAGGAAGAGCTAACTATCCTAAATATATATGCACCCAATACAGGAGCACCCAGATTCATAAAGCAAGTCCTTAGAGACTTACAAAGAGACTTAGACTCCAATACAATAATAATGGGAGACTTCAACATTCCACTGTCAACATTAGACAGATCAACGAGACAGTTAACAAGGATATCCAGGAATTGAACTCATCTCTGCAGCAAGCAGACCTAATAGACATCTATAGAACTCTCCACCCCAAATCAACAGAATATACATTCTTCTCAGCACCACATCGTACTTACTCCAAAATCGACCACATAATTGGAAGTAAAGCACTCCTCAGCAAATGTACAAGAACAGAAATTATAACAAACTGTCTCTCAGACCACAGTGCAATCAAACTAGAACTCAGGACTAAGAAACTCAATCAAAACCGCTCAACTACATGGAAACTGAACAACCTGCTCCTGAATGACTACTGGGTACATAACAAAATGAAGGCAGAAATAAAGATGTTCTTTGAAACCAATGAGAACAAAGATACAACATACCAGAATCTCTGGGACACATTTAAAGCAGTGTGTAGAGGGAAATTTATAGCACTAAATGCCCACAAGAGAAAGCAGGAAAGATCTAAAATTGACACTCTAACATCGCAATTAAAAGAACTAGAGAAGCAAGAGCAAACACATTCAAAAGCTAGCAGAAGGCAAGAAATAACTAAGATCAGAGCAGAACTGAAGGAGATAGAGACACAAAAAACTCTCCAAAAAATCAATGAATCCAGGAGTTGGTTTTTTGAAAAGATCAACAAAATTGACAGACCACTAGCAAGACTAATAAAGAAGAAAAGAGAGAAGAATCAAATCGACGCAATTAAAAATGATAAAGGGGATATCACCACCGACCCCACAGAAATACAAACTACCATCAGAGAATACTATAAACACCTCTACGCAAATAAACTGGAAAATCTAGAAGAAATGGATAATTTCCTGGACACTTACACTCTTCCAAGACTAAACCAGGAAGAAGTTGAATCCCTGAATAGACCAATAGCAGGCTCTGAAATTGAGGCAATAATTAATAGCCTACCAACCAAAAAAAGTCCAGGACCAGATGGATTCACAGCTGAATTCTACCAGAGGTACAAGGAGGAGTTGGTACCATTCCTTCTGAAACTATTCCAATCAATAGAAAAAGAGGGAATCCTCCCTAACTCATTTGATGAGGCCAACATCATCCTGATACCAAAGCCTGGCAGAGACACAACAAAAAAAGAGAATTTTAGACCAATATCCCTGATGAACATCGATGCAAAAATCCTCAATAAAATACTGGCAAACCGGATTCAGCAACACATCAAAAAGCTTATCCACCATGATCAAGTGGGCTTCATCCCTGGGATGCAAGGCTGGTTCAACATTCGCAAATCAATAAACATAATCCAGCATATAAACAGAACCAAAGACAAGAACCACATGATTATCTCAATAGATGCAGAAAAGGCTTTTGACAAAATTCAACAGCCCTTCATGCTAAAAACGCTCAATAAATTCGGTATTGATGGAACGTACCTCAAAATAATAAGAGCTATTTATGACAAACCCACAGCCAATATCATACTGAATGGGCAAAAACTGGAAAAATTCCCTTTGAAAACTGGCACAAGACAGGGATGCCCTCTCTCACCACTCCTATTCAACATAGTGTTGGAAGTTCTGGCTAGGGCAGTTAGGCAAGAGAAAGAAATCAAGGGTATTCAGTTAGGAAAAGAAGAAGTCTAATTGTCCCTGTTTGCAGATGACATGATTGTATATTTAGAAAACCCCATTGTCTCAGCCCAAAATCTCCTTAAGCTGATAAGCAACTTCAGCAAAGTCTCAGGATACAAAATTAATGTGCAAAAATCACAAGCATTCTTATACACCAGTAACAGACAAACAGAGAGCCAAATCAGGAATGAACTTCCATTCACAATTGCTTCAAAGAGAATAAAATACCTAGGAATCCAACTTACAAGGGATGTAAAGGACCTCTTCAAGGAGAACTACAAACCACTGCTCAGTGAAATAAAAGAGGACACAAACAAATGGAAGAACATACCATGCTCATGGATAGGAAGAATCAATATCGTGAAAATGGCCATACTGCCCAAGGTAATTTATAGATTCAATGCCATCCCCATCAAGCTACCAATGAGTTTCTTCACAGAATTGGAAAAAACTGCTTTAAAGTTCATATGGAACCAAAAAAGAGTCCGCATCTCCAAGACAATCCTAAGTCAAAAGAACAAAGCTGGAGGCATCACGCTACCTGACTTCAAACTATACTACAAAGCTACAGTAACCAAAACAGCATGGTACTGGTACCAAAACAGAGATATAGACCAATGGAACAGAACAGAGTCCTCAGAAATAATACCACACATCTACAGCCATCTGATCTTTGACAAACCTGAGAGAAACAAGAAATGGGGAAAGGATTCCCTATTTAATAAATGGTGCTGGGAAAATTGGCTAGCCATAAGTAGAAAGCTGAAACTGGATCCTTTCCTTACTCCTTATACGAAAATTAATTCAAGATGGATTAGAGACTTAAATGTTAGACCTAATACCATAAAAATCCTAGAGGAAAACCTAGGTAGTACCATTCAGGACATAGGCATGGGCAAAGACTTCATGTCTAAAACACCAAAAGCAACGGCAGCAAAAGCCAAAATTGACAAATGGGATCTCATTAAACTAAAGAGCTTCTGCACAGCAAAAGAAACTACCATCAGAGTGAACAGGCAACCTACAGAATGGGAGAAAATTTTTGCAATCTACTCATCTGACAAAGGGCTAATATCCAGAACCTACAAAGAACTCAATCAAATTTACAAGAAGAAAACAAACAACCCCATCAAAAAGTGGGCAAAGGATATGAACAGACATTTCTCAAAAGAAGACATTCATACAGCCAACAGACACATGAAAAAATGCTCATCATCACTGGCCATCAGAGAAATGCAAATCAAAACCACAATGAGATACCATCTCACACCAGTTAGAATGGCGATCATTAAAAAGTCAGGAAACAACAGATGCTGGAGAGGATGTGGAGAAATAGGAACACTTTTACACTGTTGGTGGGATTGTAAACTAGTTCAACCATTATGGAAAACAGTATGGCGATTCCTCAAGGATCTAGAACTAGATGTACCATATGACCCAGCCATCCCATTACTGGGTATATACCCAAAGGATTATAAATTATGCTGCTATAAAGACACATGCACACGTATGTTTATTGCAGCACTATTCACAATAGCAAAGACTTGGAATCAACCCAAATGTCCATCAGTGACAGATTGGATTAAGAAAATGTGGCACATATACACCATGGAATACTATGCAGCCATCAAAAAGGATGAGTTTGTGTCCTTTGTAGGGACATGGATGCAGCTGGAAACCATCATTCTTAGCAAACTATCACAAGAACAGAAAACCAAACACTGCATGTTCTCACTCATAGGTGGGAACTGAACAATGAGATCACTTGGACTCAGGAAGGGGAACATCACACACCGGGGCCTATCATGGGGAGGGGGGAGGGGAGGGGGGAGGGGAGAGGGGGGAGGGATTGCATTGGGAGTTATACCTGATGTAAATGACGAGTTGATGGGTGCAGCACACCAACATGGCACAAGTATACATATGTAACAAACCTGCACGTTATGCACATGTACCCTACAACTTAAAGTATAATAATAACCAGCCTGGGCGACAGAGCGAGACTCCGTCTCAAAAAATAATAATAATAATAATAATAAATAAATTAAAAAAAAAAAAAAAAAGAACCAGGCTGCGTAGTAGGAGGTGAGCTGCCTGAGAGCATGACCTCCTGAGCTCCACCTCCTGTCAGATCAGCAGCAGCATTCCATTCCCACAGGGTCACGACCCCTGTTGTGAACCCAGCATGCGAAGGATCTAGGTTGTACCCTCCTCATAAGAATCTAATGATCTGAGGTGGAACAGTTTCATCCCCAAACCATCGCCCCCACCAGGTTTGTGGAAAAATTGTCTTCCATGAAACCGGTCCCTGAGGCCGAAAAGGTTGGGGACTGCTGATTTACTCCATAACATTATTTGAGGACCCCAGTTGATGCTCCTACTCCTCTTCAGTCCTCAGCTTCACTCTGGCACCACTGTGAGCACCGGGAGACCTACCAGAAGTTGCTGGAGGACATCGCCGTCCTGCACCGCCTGGCTGCCCGCCTCTCCAGTAGAGCTGAGGTGGTGGGTGCCGTCCGCCAGGTGAGCCTCTCCAGCCCCCAGTCTTGCCGACTCTGCTCCACTTACATAAAGTAGAGCAATCACCCAAACAGCGGCAACTACAGATACCACTTAGAGGTGGCTGCCTCTGGGCCAAGCATCCTATGTATACCATTGCAGTATTATTCAGAGTATTTTTGGCAGATCACTGAACCCTCAAGGGGCTTTGTGGAAAAAGGTTTCTGTGGACGCACAAGTTTGGGGACTACTGCATACTATCTTTCTTTCTTGGAAATTTCTAACACATTGGCCTAATCAAGGCTTTGATTGGAGGATAGTGGTGTCTAACACATTGGCCTAATCAAGGCTTTGATTGGAGGATAGTGGTGTCTAACACATTGGCCTAATCAAGGCTTTGATTGGAGGATAGTGGTGTCTAACACATTGGCCTAATCAAGGCTTTGATTGGAGAAGCCTGGTTCACTTTACCTACGTAGTTCCCAAACATATTGAACTGAAGAATTCCCCCCACAGCCCTCCATTTTATTTTTCTCAAAAAATACCTATTCAACTCCCATCGAGCTAGTATTTGGCAAAACATGCTTTAGGAAAACCTGCTTTGTCTCATTAAATCCACCCAGCAACCCTATAAATATCCTGTTTCCCAGATGAAGATGCAGAGTCTCAGAAAGTAAAAACACTAGTGAGTGGCAGAGCGGGACACAGGCCCAGGTCTGTCTCTCTCTTGGCCACTTTGAAGTCCTGAACCACAGAGAGCCCCGCCCTGGCCCCGCATGTTTTAGCAGGAGCACACTGCCTGAGTTCCAATCCGGGCTCCACCCTTCATTCGCTGTGTGAACTTGGGCCGCTTACCGAGGTCTCTCTGCTTCAGTCTTTTCAAGTATAAAATGAGGATGGTCACAGTATTTCCCATAGCGGGTTGCTGCCGTACTTGTAAAGCGTTTAGATGTTGTTATTATGTTGCTATGACATGAATCTATGTCCTGCTGCTCTGGTTACAAGAGAGGAGGTTCCTGGGATGGTGCAGCCCTGAGCAGTTCCTGTTAAAGGACTTGCCGCTGGGCCGTCCCACCCTGTGTCCTTCAGGACAAGGACACCTGACTCAGCAGTGGTGCGCAGGAAGTCACTCCAGCTGGGAGCAGCAACACAGGAGGACTCTAGGGAAGTGGCTGGTCTCAGCCATGCATGGCTGTGGGACCTGTTCCTGCAAAGCCACTGGGTGTGTCCCTCTGTGGCCAGGCAGGGCCTGAGCTAGATCCTCTGAGGGATCTAACCAGGGTATGAGCAGAGAGAAATTGTTCTCATTGTGTGCAGGCTTCCCAAACGTGTGCCTAAGCCCAACTGCCACTCACGCCATCTGCTCCCTTCTCCAAATGGCTCCCTCGTCTTGGCTTCTATGCCTCAGTCTTTGCCTTCCTCTCTGGCTCCACTGGGCCAGGTCAGGCTTCATTCGGTCTTTCCGTGCTGCTCTCACTGACACCAGTCTCACTCCCTTGAGTCCCATCTCTATCTGTGACCTGATTATGTTACTCTCTTACTTTAAGGGAGATATTCAATGGCTTCCCTTTTCCTTCAGAGTAAGTTCAAGTTCCTTTGTCTAGCATTCGAGGTCCTTCACAACCCAGACTTACAAATAGACCCAACTGCTTGCTGATTCCTACAGAGGCAGGAGACCTGTAGTGTCTGGGCTTTCTGGGCAGCCCTGGTTTATGTCGATTGTCCCAGCACAATTTGTCATAGTGCCTTTCTTCACTCTCCAGAGGACTCCTATCCAGAGGATAAAACCTCATCTACATATAAGCCCTGTGCTTCCCTGCCTCTAGAATCCTCTTGGAGTTCCCTGGCCTGAATGCTCTGTCCCTCCTGCCCTTGTCTATGTGCCCAGATGCTGTTCACATCCTATATCCACTTCATTCCATCTCCATGAAGCCTCCCCGACCTGTTCTCTGCAAGCAGAAACAACTCTCCTCTGCCTGTCACCTCCTGCAGTGTGGTGGCTGTGTTTTTCCCATTCTCCCTGAGTGCAGGTGCTGAGTCCACCTCTCAGCTCAGGCACAGTCTCGTCCCTGTATCCTTTTGATTCTCCTAGCCCAGACCCTTGGGCTTGATCAGAGCAAATAAGTGCCAATGGAGCCTTTCCTCCAGTGGCCTCATGTACTCACACCCTCCATCCCTGCAGGAAAAGCGCATGTCGAAAGCAACAGAAGTGATGATGCAGTATGTGGAGAATCTAAAGAGGACGTATGAGAAGGACCATGCGGAGCTCATGGAGTTTAAAAAGCTTGCAAATCAGAATTCAAGCCGCAGCTGTGGCCCCTCTGGTAAGGACCTAGGCTCCTGCCCCATCTTGGCCCTACATGGTAGACTTCCAAGAGCTCTTGGCTAGGATTGGAGCTGTCAGAGCAGCCCCATGACTTATTTCCAGTTGAGCAGCACCCCTGTCCAGTACTGTCCACAGGGGCCTCCCAGCAGCTGCTTCAGTGGGCCTGGCAGGGCAGTCTGGAAGCAGGAAACATGAGCATTCCCAAAGTGACTTCCTAACTCCCAAAGCAATAAATCACAGTGGCTGACCATGGATACAAAGCCCACAGGCTACTAGAACTCTTGGACTTATAGGGTCTGAGAGTGACCCTAGACCCTGTAAGTCTGTGTGCTTTGGGACCCCCTTTTAGGCAGCACATGCTAAGGAAGTTGGGCTTTATTCTGGAAAGCATTAGGGATCCAGCCAATGATTTTAATCAAGAAAATGACTTGATCATATATGTAGCTTAAGAAGATTCCCTTGAACTATGGTGTGGCAATTACATTACTGGGACAAACCAGGGACAGAAAACTCCATGAAGATGTTCTTGCAACAGTCCAGGTGAGGGGTGAAACCTGGGCAGCTAGGGTGGAGTGCGAGTCTGGCTGAAGATGTTACAGAGAAAAACAGCAGACTCATGGATAAGACAAATGTTTCAAAGAAATATTCTTGTTTAGAAGTTCTATATGAATTGCCATAGGAGCACAGAGGAGGGCCCACCTGATTCTGCTTGAAGGGAGACAAGGAAGGCTTCAAAGAGGGATGGTATCTTGGTGTTTTAAAGTAAAAATAGGAGTTCTCCAGTCAATAGAGGAAGATACATCCCAGGTGGAGAAACCAGCATGGACAAAGATGCGGAGATTGGGGGTGAAAAGAAGATGAAACAAACAGTTTTCCATAGTGGCAGTGTCGGGGTGTGGTAGTGACAGGTTGAAAGTGAGACTTGGTAGACCAGGGCCACATGCCAGGCCATGCTAGCAATTTAAACCTCTAGGCAATGGGGAGTTAATGGTAAGTTTATACCTCATGATGTAATCAGGCTTTATTTTTAGATTTTTCTGACTTCAGTGGACAATATATTGGAGGTGTGCAAAAGCTGAGGTAAAGAGAGACACAGTCGGAGACTCTTTCTCAGTCCAGCAGGAAGAGGTTGGTGCCTTGGACCAGATCTCTCTGTGGGCACTGTCAGGGTTTGGACTCTGGCTGATGAGGGTGGCCAGCAGGAGAAAACAGACCTTTTAGCAACAGGAATCCCTGTGGAATGCAAACATCCGTGTTACCAAGAGCTGCAGAAGGGAAAGTACAGAAAGTATAACAGATGGAGAAACCTTTATAAACAGGAGGTTTCACAAGTTTCCTGGAGAATATCAGTGACACGTCCCAGAGTCCAAAGGCAGCATGCACACATGCTCCAGACTGTCTGCTTTGGATCTGTCAGCAAGGCTCCTGACCCATATGCACCTGGGCTTCTAACAAACCATTTTCCGTCCATGTTGCAAGCTGGGGAAGCTGCCGCCAAAGGAATCCTAATGCCATGGGCTCCTACATTTATTGCTGCACAAGGCCTCCTGCAAACTACCTTATCTAAGATTTATAGGATGAGCAGTTACCCATGAGTCTCATTCATTCATTCTACAGACATTTACTAAGTACCTTTGGCTTGCCCCATATAATACTGGAATATAGAGGTAAAGGGCACACAGTCACAGACCCAAAGGAGCTCCCAACCTTTGGGAAGTCAAGGCAGTGTAGCCAGTGCTATGACAGAAGAAAGCAGACTTCCAAGGAGAACACACGACAGAGTCCCATATTCAGTCTAGGAGGATGATAAAACGCTTACCATAGCAAAGGTCAACGATAGCTGTACATGTTTTTCCAATATTTGTTTCCACTCCAGTTGTTCTTCCAAGCTATACCTCAGCTTGGGCTAGGCAGAGGGGCCGTACCCACTCAGCAGGTGTTTCCATAAGACACTCTATGACCGTTCCCTAATAGTGTTTGTGTCTTAAGCCTTTTATACAACCTCTGCAATCTTTGTCTATGCCTGGGGTTTTGAAGACTACAGTAAATAAAATATCCCTGATTTCAAGGAAGGTGATATACATTTTTTAAAAATAATATGTTTCTTTCTGAATATGAAATTTGCCAATTGTCTGCATTTTGGATTATTTCCTTAATGTAGATTTCTAGAAGTATAAATACTAGCTCAGGGGAAAGAAATTTTTTAAGGCTCTTAAAGCAAATTATTTTCAAATAACCCATTTATGTTTTCACTGAATGGGTTACAATACTCAATTCACTGTGCCATTGACACCATTCTTGTTCTTTCTTTTGGTAAGTATCCATGACTTCGATAGACCAAGATTGTGTCTTATCTTACTGGTTTAATTGTATTTCTCGGCCTTTCCAAATGTTTATGGAACATTTGTATTTCTACTTTTAAAAATTCTGTATTTATGATCTTTGTCCACTTGTAAGCTTGGTAGTTTACTAATGTATATGAACTCTTCACATGTAAAGAATATTTTCTGGTTCTGCTGTTTTGGCTGACTGGAAAACTTGAGAATCTTTTGACCACAAGCACTTAGAAATTTCTGCTGGACAAAATAAAGCAAACCTATGTCTAAATAGCTGAATCCACAAGAAAAGAAATTGAAATATCCAGATACGAGAAAAGAAAAGAGAACTGAAACCAAGCTGACCCTGCAGCTTCCTTGGGGACAAGTGGCAACCTCAGTTATCGGGGAGCTGAGCTTTTACACTTGCCTGTGATCTGAGACAAGACCTGGAACACCTATGGTAGAGAGTTGACACAGATTCCCACAGAAAGTTAAGGCTGTCCAAGGACTAGATCCTCAGATGGAATTTGGATAAGGAAAAATAATAATCACCAACCAGCAGAGAAACAAGGAAATTTGTTTCACCCTGGGCTCTAGTAGGAAAAAACACTTTCTCCTTCCTCATAGGAAAAGTACATACTCACAAAGTGACAGCAGTGATGATGCAATATGCAGAGGATTTGAAAAGAACAGCAAGATGGTGCCTCTAAGACATATTAGAAATAAGTAGAAAAGCACTCTGGAGAGACAGACGCTGCACCCAGACACACAGGATTCCTCTAATAAAGCCTCACTGAAGATGACTTCACAACCTAAAATTATAAAATACGCAAGAAAACAATTCATCATGAACAAAAATCATCAGGTACCCCAAAGAATAGGATCATATCCTAAGAACCTCAGAAAATAAAATGATCTGATAATTTTTTTAAAGATAAGCTTAAAATTATTAGGGGTAGCTGGGTACAGTGGCTTACGTCTATAATCCTAACACTTTGGGAGACCAAGGTGAAAGGATTGCTTGAGGCCAGGAGGTTGAGACCAGCCTGGGCAACAAAGTGAGACCCTGTCTCTCCAAAAAATAAAAATAAAAAACAATTAGTTGGATGTGGTGGTGGGCACCTATAGTTCTAGCTTCTCAGGAGGCTAAGGTGGGAGGATCGCTTGAGCCCAGGAAGTCAAGGCTGCAGTAAGCTGTGATCGTGCCATTGCACTTCATCCTGGATGACAGAGTGAGACCCTGTCTCTAACTTAAAAATCATTGGAGACATAAAAGAATGGATCAAAAACAGAGTAAAAGAAAATAGTTATCAAAGAAGAATAAAATAGAACTTCTCAAAGTGAGGAATAAAGTCACGGAAATTAAAAACTCAAGAGTTTAGGTGTGTTAGTTACTATATTTGAGGCTATTCTTCGTTATTCCAGATCTCCTTCTGGGCACATTTTCCCATCCCCTTAAAGTCACAAGGCAAGGCCATGGGACTTGCTTTGGTGAATGAAATGTGAGTAGAAGGACGTGTCACATCTGAACCTAGGCCTTCAAGAACTAGTATGCAATCTGCCATGTTTTTTCCTCCTAACGTGATAACCATCATTGCTCCAGAATACTAGAAGGCCAATATTAGGCTGAGTCCAGAATGAGGAAACACTGAACCAAGCCTGCTACAGACTCAGAAGTAAATGGGCGTGTAGCATAAGCAAATCACATCTTCCTTGTTATCAGCCACTAATACTTTGGAGTTGCTTATTATTACTATGCTGTTAAACTAGTATAACCTAGCTTAGCCTGATTGATTATAACATTTAAATCAAATTGGGCACAGCTGAAGAAAAATTAGTTAACTTGAAGATAGGTTTGAGGAAGTTACCCAATGTACAGTTCAGAGAAATAAATTGATTAAAATTATGAAAGAAGCATTGAGATATGGGATATAGAATGTAGAATGAGAAAGTCCCAAATACATTTATTGGTCCATCCTTAAAGGGGAAAGACAACTAGAGAAAATATTCCAAGAAAGAATGGCTGAGGATTTTCCAGAACTAAGGAAAGTCATCAATCATTGGATTCAGAAAATACAGTGAATTCCAAGCAGGAAAAATAAAAACACACCAAAGAGAAACTATAGAACAGTAAAGACAAAGGGAAGATCTTAAAAGTCATCAAAGAGAGAAGATTATTTACAAAGGAATGACAATTCTCAATGGCAATAGTAGAAGAAGGCAATGGAATAATCTCTTAAAAGAACTACGAGAAAATAACGGTCAACCTAGAGATAACACAAATGGCTAAGATACCATGCAGGATTGAGGGCTTGGTAAAGACCATTTGGAGACAATTGAGGAAGTTTACCTCTCACAGACCCCCGCTGAAACAACAACTAGAGGATGTACCTAAGGAAGATTGAAATTGAACTCAAACACATGCTCACAAATGTTCACTGCAGCACTTTTCACAATAGAAAAGACATGGAATCAACCTAAATGCCCATCAATGACAGACTGGATAAAGAAAATATGGTACATATACACCATGGAATACTATGCAGCCATAAAAAAGAATGAGATCACCTCTTTTGCAGGAACATGGGTGGAGCTGGAGGCCCTTATCTTTTGCAAACTAACACAGGAACAGAAAACCAAATACTGCATGTTCTCACTAAGAAGTGGGAGCTAAACATTGAGTCCATATGGCCACAAACAGGGGAACAACAGGTACCAGGGCCTACTTGAGGGTAGAAAGTAGGAGAAGGGAGAGGAACGGAAAAAATAAATACTGTCTACTAGGCTTAGTACCTGGGTGATGAAATAATCTGTATAACAAATCCTCATGACAAGTTTATGTAATGCACCTGCACATGCACCCTGAACCTAAAATAAAAGTTAAAAAAAAATTGAGCTCAAAAGAAACAAGTAGGATACAAGAAGGAATAGTCAACAAAGACATTTGTAAACATGTAGGTAAATCTAAATAAGCACTTTCTGTAGAAACCAACAAACATAATGAATAATTTAGGAATACAAAAGCAAGGTGAAATAAAAATACTGGAAAGCAATATAATTAAGAGGGAGGGTTATTATTTTAAGATTTATTCAAGAAAAGAATAGAGATCTTGTTTAATTTTAAATTTAAAGTCAATATGTTCAAAAGTTAAGAGGACATGCTGAAGGTTAAAAATAGAATGTATAAGTTCCAAACAAATGTGTAGGGTGGGAGGAGGGGTGGAAAAAGTCAATGAATAAAACAAATAGAAAATATAAAATTACGTGGTAGAAATAAATACAAATATATTAATCACAAGAACTATAACTAGTATAAATCTATTGGTTAATAGAGAATCTTAGATTAGATTATGAAAAAAACAGGCCAGGCGCGGTGGCTCATGCCTGTAATTCCAGCACTTTGGGCAGCCAAGGCAGACAGATACTTTAAGCTCAGGAGTTGGAGACCAGCCTGGCCAACATGGCGAAATGCTGTTTCTACTAAAAATACAAAAATTAGCCAGACATAGTGGCACACATCTGTAATCCCAGCTACTCGGGAGGCTGAGGCATAAGAATCATATGAACCCAGGAGCCAAAGGTTGAGTGAGCCAAGATCGTGCCACTGCACTCTAGCCTTCGTGACAGAGTGAGACAGTCTCAAAAAAAATTTTTTTTTGAAAAAAAAAAAAAAACCCAGCTATGTGCTTTTCAAGAGACACACCAAAAATGCATGGATATGAAAGAGAGAGAGATGCAGGCTAAATAATATTGGTCAAACTGAATCAAATTGAATTGAGCTAGCAAATACCTTTCTCTGAAAGTACTCAGGTGTTTCCTGGTGGTAGTATTATCCAGGTGCGAAGTTTAAACATATTACATGAGTTATATCACTTAATGTATGCAGTAAGGAGAAGAAAATCCTGGGGTGGTAGCTTCCTTTGTTCTGAGTCATTTGGTAGGTAACATATTGAAACTACTTTTGTCAGCAAGTTTTCATTATTTACTGGCACCACACCTTCCTTGCTCATAGTTTCTCTGACTGTACATCCTTGAACGAGCATGAAATAACCCAATAAGTCTTGGTATTGCTGAGTAGTTGTCATACACTATCTAGGGTGTTATGCAGAGTGTGTTTAGTGGGGTCAGATAAAGATCAGAGGTCCAAGACTGGGGCTTCCTATAGTGAGAAGCGGAGTTAGGATAAAGGTTTTGTCCAAAAAAACCCCCACTCTGCAGCCCCATCTCAAAGGATGAAGTGCCAAACTCAGCGTCCCCAACACCCAGATCCTTGGGCTATCCCTTGAGGGCCAGTTCTGGCTCATGGATACCATAGCCTAGTTTCTGTTTCCTGCTGGTGCCTAGTCTGAAACTTACTTGTGTTCTCTTCTCTGCTCCCTCCTGCTGCAGAAGATGGGGTCCCTCGCACGGCACGGTCCATGTCCCTCACGCTGGGAAAGGTATGCATGTTCAAGGAATACCAGGGCTCCTGGAAAGAGTATGACAGAAGTTTCCATGGTCACCCAAACAATCATTCATTCTGGGATCCATGGATGCCAGAGAATCTCTGAACAGAGTTTCTATTCGGCTTCCCACGGTCTCAAGTTTAGCCTCTGACATCTTACCTTTCTTGCTCGTGGTTTCCTTAACTATGTATACATCCCTTAAATCAACATGAAATGATCATAAGCCTTCATATTGCTACAGGCAGCTTTAATACAGTCTCCAGGGTGTTACCCAGAGACTGTGGGGTCATTTCCATTCTGTATCTCCAAGATCTCATAAGCTAAAATAGAACAGATTGAGCGTTCACTCACCACCAATTTGGGAAATTTGGGTCAACTTTGGCCACTCTCTCCGCACCAATTCCATCATTGCTACTGCAAAACCAAAATATCCAGTGAATGCCATTTCAGCATTAGAAATGAGTAGGTTTTTTTCCCAAGCCCTTCTGAATTATGGCTATTGCTACCTCCAAGACAATGAGCCTGGTCACTTCTCTCCCCACAGAATATGCCTCGCCGGAGGGTCAGCGTTGCCGTTGTTCCTAAGTTTAATGCCCTGAATCTGCCTGGCCAAACTCCCAGTTCATCACCCATCCCCTCCTTACCAGCCTTGGTAAGTATGATGATGCCTGCCTCCCAGCACGGAATAGTAAAATAACCTTTCCTTCATACTCAGTCCTAGGGGGGTGACCAAATGGGAGCAGGGTCAACAAGGAGAGGAAATTTCCAGAATAGAATCTGAGTGATAGGCTCAAAAACCCAATACAGACCAGGCTGCATGTATTCTACTACTCTGGGAAGTCCTACTGCCCTTGAGCATGGTGTTGGCAGCTCAGCATTCTTTGCAAACGATAACTCTTTTTGTGCTTACACCACAATCCGCCAAGGTGGTTATAATTTTTTTCTACTCTGCAGTGGGCTTAAGTAGCTGAAGTTTGTAATGTGTGATAGGTGGTAGAACAGCTTTGAACCCTAGGTTCTCTGTTTCAGGAGCCTGAGTTCTTCAACCAACCCATTGTTCTCCTGCCTCAGTTCATTGTAGCATTTGTTCATAACAATGAAAAGCGGGAAACAACTCCGTGTTCACTAATAAGAGACTGGTTAAGCAAATGGATATCCCTATAAGGGGTTTCTGTAGAATGGTCCGTAACTTATTATGAATCAAAAGCAAGTAAAATAGGATATACAAAACCTAGTGTATGAACAGTATAATTCTGTTTTGTACTTTTTAAAAGAGTGTGTTTCTGTGCGTAGACAGAAATTTCTGGTAGAAGATACGTGAAACAGCTAACAATGGTTATCTCTAGGCAATGGTAAAATAGTTCATTTCTATTTTCTTCCTGATGCCTTTTTATATTTCTATAATACGAATGTATTAGTAATAATCAGGAAAAATACATTTCCATTTCTTTTAGGCAAAGACAGTTTGAATATAACAAAATATTTTCTGTATCCCAGGCCTTTGTGCATCTGGTTAATTCTCTCTAATTCTTTCTTCAGTGGTTTCTCTATCCCCTGCCTATGACTAGCACTACCATATAAGGAAACAATCTGATTGTGTAAGCAATTGGAAATTCAAGCCCTATGTAATACCAATGGGTGGTACTCACTGTTTCCTGCCTCAAGCATTTCAATCATGTATGAAATCAACCTAAACTCCCAAATTACCCACTAAAATAGAACAACCTGAAAAAAATGTTTAAGGATATTGGAGAGGACTGGTTAGTGTGTTTTAACAGTTCTATTTCCCATATTTTGCCTAAAAGCATAAATTTATTTTCCAAATATATGTTCCTTTAGACTAGGGGCTGGCAATCAGGGCCATAGATTAAAAACCACACAGGGTACTTTTAAAACATTCTTCCCCCAGGCCCCACACCAAGATTCTGGAGTGGATCAATACTTTTTTAAAACTTCCCCCAGGTGATTCTAATGTGCAGCCAACATTGAGAACCATTACTTAAACCAAATCCATTGCAACAACACAACGTGGAAATCCTGGGGAACATATTGTAATGAAATTTCTGATTGTTTGAGCTTTCAATAGTACTGGCCTCTCTTGAGAATTGTACCTGGAGCTGTGTCTCTCGGGACAGTGATGGGCTTGTGTGAATCTATCACAGGGAGCCTGGGACCTGCACTTGTAGGAGGCCCACTGGTGTTCAGTCACAGTCAGTAAACAGGACAGAGAAAAACTGATGGCTTCTCTCCAGAATGGAGCCTCAAGATGTAAACTCTCCTCTTTGCTTAAGGAAACTTAGCAGAGGCGAAGGAAAAGGAGCAAGCTGCATGTGCCCTAGAGGAAAGGAATGCTGAGGAAAGGAGGACAGGGAAGGCCCGAGGGAAAGGGCCAAGGTCTGGGCTCAGATGAAGATTGGAAAGTGGGGGCATGGAGGAAAGAGGAGAAGCAGCAGCCCCCCTCCCATCATCAGAAACCCAGCAGCTCTGGCTTCTTCCTTGCATAGCACATCCTCAGTTCTCTGTCTTCTGTTTTTCATTCAGTCGGAATCACCCAATGGGAAAGGCAGCCTACCTGTCACTTCAGCACTGCCTGCACTTTTGGAAAAGTAAGTTTGTTGGTTTTCCTCTTTGCTTCAGGGATCTCTCAGGAAAATTTCCCCATTTTACTTTCCTTCCTCCCATTTTCATCCCCAAAATGCAGGGGAAAGCAAATTAAGTTTTAAGGGAAATGAATGAGAGTCTGAGACCCACAAAGATTTCAGAATCCGCTTGCAAGATTCTTGAACAGGGAAGATGCCCTGACTGAGGCCAAGTGTACCCAATCTGAGAGAGCCCAGAGAAGACTGGAGCCTTCTCTGCCAGTTGGGATTCTTTGGGCTACAGACAAAAGAAAGCCCCAACTCAATGGGACTTAGTAAGTCCAAGGTAGAGCTGCTTCTGGTACGGCACAGCAGGGCTCTAGCTCAGCATGCCTACAACTTCCTTGCCTCTGGCCACGTTGTATGTTAACTTCATCATCAGGATTGTGGCAAACGGCTGGTAGTTACTGGCATCCCCTCCAGACAAGACAATACCTAGAGGAAGAAAAGGGCCTGTTTCTTGCCGTGTTCCTTTCTTAGGAATAAACCCAGAAACCTTTCACCAGTCTTCCCTATTATCTCATTGACAAATCTGGAAGGAGGTCCCTTTCTAAAAGAATCACTTTGGGAATGGGATTGTCATCATGGGATTTACACTATTCCCTGGGGTTGGTGAGAGGGTCAGCTTCCCAAAAAGCAAAATGACTCCATAAAGAAGAGTAAATTCCTGAACAGAATCATGTTGCTGTTGGGAACGAGGAAGGAAAATGCATATTGGATTGGCAGCCAGCAGTGTCTGTGATTTTCTAGGCATCTGTGCAATGTGCAGATCTTTTCATCCTCAGCCAGAGGAAGGGAGGCTGTTTCTATGCACTCAGAGGACTTCATAGCTTACTTTTCAAATTCTTTCATTTGCTTGCTGAAAAACATCTGGATCACACCTGCTGCCTCTCGGAATTTTCCCCTTGTGTCTTTTCTCACTTGGTAGAACATATACCTTATTCTTCCTTCTTTCTTGCCTCAAGACAGCTTTAGTCCTTCGTTTTTCTTTGCTGTCAGAAAAGTTTTGCTATCTGGCAGGAAAAGTGTATGTTGGGACCCTTTTCAATACAGACAGGCTCCCACCTCCAGACCCAGCCTGTTTCCTACATCTCTCATTATGTGCAGCCACCAGCTTATCACCCAGTGATTTGTCCCCTGTTAGTCTTGAAGTTTGCCCAGCATTTCTTCTCTTTACCACCTCACCCCCATAAGCTCACAGGTCCTTCGTATTATAGAGGGTCTCTTGGGGTCTCTCTCTCTGCCTTTTCTTGATCACTACAGGGAAATTGTCAAGAGGTGACACAACCACCACCATGTGGACCACGTGGAAGTGACCGAGTTTACAGAAACTTACCAAGTCTCTAGAGTCATAGGGCCTTATCCTCACCCTAGAGTCATAGAATCTCTCCAGAAATGGTCACCTGATGCTCTGACTGAGAAACCCACTAAAATTCTCCTTGCCAACCTTCCCTTTGGGTGCATGAATCCCTACTTCAGAGAACCCTCAACTCTAGCCCCATTCCCAACTCTAGGCCTGCAGAGCCACTCAAGGCAGAAGATCTCTTCAACAGACTCTAATCATGACAGAGCAGGGCCTGAACTCTGTAGAACTTATGCCAATCCATTTGAGCACTTCTGTCCAAGGCAGTGGGGATCATGAAAACATGAATTATCCTTGGTAAGGGAAACTGAGGTACAAAATTGGAGACAATAAGCAGCAGCCCCAAATTAGGAGCGTCAATGGGTAATGGTCAATAGTGCTATCACCTTTCTAGGGGTTTATAGAACCTGAAGAGATAGGGACAGAGTGGGGATTAAGGCAAGTCAAGCACACTGGGGTTGACTCTCCAGTTGGGAATATACCCATGTAAGAATGGTTGCAAAGAGGGGAGGGCATCTTCAGATTAAGAGGGGTTCAGGATGAACAACAGCTTCCCCTTCTGGATTTCTCAAAGATGTTAAGTGATTTCCATTTAAAACTGGAAACATGGCCAGGCATGGTGGCTCACACCTGTAATCCCAGCACTTTGAGAGGCCAAGGCAGGTGGATCACAAGGTCAGGAGTTCAAGACCAGCCTGGCCAAGATGGTGAAACCCTGTCTCTACTAAAAATACAAATAAATAAATACATAAATAAATAAAAACTGGAAACATTTACTTGATTCCCAATGCACTAACAATCAGACAATATATGAGTAAAAGTGAATTCTTATCTTCTGTCCTATATACAAATACTTAGTCAATTCTAGCTGCCCTAGCCATATTGTGAAAGAGAAATAATGTGTTATAGTTTAATATACATTGCCTCAGAGAGTGTTGTATTCAGCCTTGTATTAAAATGATTTCACCTTTCCTAAGCATACAGTGACGAAGCAGGAAGGGTGCTGGCTAAGCAAAGGATAAGAAGGTCAAATACCCTGTGGCTAGTTGACAGGAAAATACTTGAGAGCTGATTACACTGCTCCGTGAGATTTCAGAGAATGCTGAGCCTTGTTCTTGGAGGTCATTTAGTAATGAACTGCTCTTCACTCAACAAGGGCCTAGAAACCTGTAGACTTAAACATATGGGTGGAGAGTGATATTTAAAATTAGTCTTGAAGAGAAAACAAAGCCCAAGAGCAGTTCTGCAAGTAGAAATAGCTATGTAATTGTAGTCTTTTGTTCTTTCATTCCTTTAACAATTAATCACCAAGGGCCAGGCACATAGTATGTACTCAGGGAGCTCACAGTCTAGCGGGAAAGACAGATGGGAAGCAGCCTATTCTAATACAACACGATGGGTGGGATCGTAAGGAAGTGTGGGTTGCTAAGGGAATGACGCAGCAGAAAATGAGCACCTAACCCGATTTTGGTGTAAGGTTGGGGGAAGTGGGGAAGTAGGGGGAAGAGGGAGTTTAGGAAATGATTCCCCTTGGCTGGGCAGTGGCTCACGCCTGTAATCCCAGCACTTTGGGAGGCCAAGGCAAGTGAATCACTTGAGCTCAAGAGTTTGAGACTAGCCTGGGCAATATAATGAAACCCCATCTCTACAAAAAATATAGAAATTAGCCAGGCATGGTGGCATGCACCTGTAGTCCCAGCTACTCAGGAGGCTGATGTGGGAGGATGGCTTGACCCCAGGAGGCAGAGGTTTCAGCAAACTGAGATTGCACCACTGCACTGCAGCCTGGAGCCTGAGTGACAGAACAAGACCCTGTCTCAAAAAAAAAAAAAAAAAAAAAAAAAAAACCCCACAAAGTTTTCCTCTAGGAACTTACTTTTAAAGTAAAATCTAAAGGGTACATAATTAACTAGGTGACCAGGAGGTTAGCAACATTCCAGGCTTTGTCCATGTGACAAAGTATGGAGTATTCAAGGAATGATGATAATGATAAGGATGACAATGATAACCGATGACAATGGTAATTACTGTTGACTGCTTACTGCACTGTTGACAATGGCAATTACTGCTAACTATTTACTGCACCTCGTTTTATGCCAAGTGCTTTACTAATTGCTTTGTATTAAGAATCTCAGTTAATCCTCACAGTAATCCCATGAGGTAGGTATACTATTAATATCTTTGTTTTATAGATGAGGAAACTGAAGCTCAGAGAAATCGTCACTTGCCTGAGGTTACAAAGCTGGTATATAGCAGAGCACATGCCCTTACCCTTTTAATAGACGGCCCAACTGGAAGGATAAAACAAAGTTCAGTGTGACCATAGAGAAGAGGATGAATTTAAGAGCTATTTTTGAAAGAGCCTGGTGACCAACTGGGCATGGAATGGAGAGTAGAGTTGGGTGAGAGACAGGGTATGCATGGAACCGTTCACAGAGGGATCAGCAAAACCAGGATGTAGATGATGCACAGCGTTAGTGTCAGAAAGGGGTTATTATGTTAATGTATCACAGAGCAATTTTAACTGTCTAAAACTAGCCATGTTTCTATACTCTTGAAGCACCCAGGGTAAATTCCTTAAAGATTTCGTAGGACGCTAAATGTGTACAGTCAGCAACTCCCCTTTGCTGGTAGTATTTTGGAGTGAATTCCGCCTCCCCCCACCACCCCAATAAACTTGTGGAGGACCCCAGGTATCTAGGACTGAGTAACGGGGAGTAAGGAAGCTTGGGTTCCCTGGGCTGGGCTTGTCAGAGGGAACCATGTCAGTGGGGGTGACTTGGAAACATTGCTGAGCCCAAGAAGATATGCCCATCACAAAGGATAGTAGTCACTTTCAAATATTGTTTTCCACATGGGAAAAGTTGAATCTAATATACCTGCCTGTCCAAAAACATATTTTGACTAAATAGTTCTTCACATTACTGAGAGCTGAGCACAATGACAAACATTTTTGACCTGGTGCATGTGTGAGAACAATGAGCCTCATTTCCATGAATCATCTCAGAAAGAAAGCACATAGGATTTCAGGCAGGGAACAGATGCCAAGATCCATGAGCCTTTGGGCCAGAAATCCCTAGGGTAGGCACAGGCTGTGCTCAGCTCCAGTTTACAGCCATGATTACAGATTTCTTTAGCCCAACCCAAACACTGGGTTCTCAGGAAATAACCATTTACAGAGAGGACTTGTGCCTTTTACAACATTCCTAGGTGGGGACTGGATAAGTCATAGTGAAACCGATGCAACTTGACAGGCACTTAAAGGTATCCACTGTGTGCCAGGCACTATTCTGACCTAAACACCGTCCTCCTTCCTATCATTACAGTCATATGCAGGTATCTGAAACATCAATGCCCTCCCTGTGAGTCACGCTGTCATAGAGGTGTGGTTGCAGAATAAAGGGAGAGAGAGGGCCAGGTGCGGTGGCTCACACTTGTAACCCCAGCACTTTGGGAGGCCAAGGCAGGTGGATCACTTGAGGCCAGGAGTTCGATACCAGCCTGGCCAACATGGTGAAACCCCATTTCTACTAAAAATACAAATATTAGCCAGGCGTGATGGTGCACTCCTGTAATCTCAGCCACTTGGGAGGCTGAGGCAGGAGAATCACTTGAACCTGTGAGATGGAGGTTGCAGTAAGCCAAGATCATGCCACTGTACTCCAGCCTGAGTGACAGAGCGAGACCCTGTCTCAAGAAAAAAAAAAAAAAAAAGGAGAGATCAACTTTAACCAGAGGGTGTGAGGGAGGGGAGAACACCCGCAAAGGTTTCACAGAGGAGAAGACATTTGAGCTTAGTCTTAAAGATGCTTAGGGAGAAACTTCCAGATAGTTAGATAAGATATTTAAAAAACTACAAGCTCAGTTCAGAGGTCAGGAGAGGACAGCAAACATTTTACATATTGTGTTTTCCCCACTTCCCACCCTACCCACAACCCCTCCACTCCCCCCTAACCCCCACACACACATTAAACAAAGGCCCTCCCAAACACTTACACTCTAGACAAGCAGCCTTGAAAAGAGGGACACCATAGAAGCCACAGTCCAGTCTGAGGGCAGGAAGGGCTTCACTCACCAGAGTGAAAGGAAGAGACTTCTATTGAAAGAAAGGCAGGGGTTCATGGGGGCTGGAAAGTCCATCTTGACACAAACGTAGACGACCAAGATGAGAGTCCCAGCACCAATAACGTGAATTTAGGCAAGTCACTTAGTCAACCTGAGCTCGGGTTTCTTATCTGTGAAATGGGATAATACCCCACCTAGGTGACAGATAGTGTAGTCAGAAGAATGGGTGCATATCAGACTGCACAGGGTAAAATTTGAGTTCTACCACACACTGGTTGTATGATCTTGGGCTGGTCCCAAGATCATATGACAGATATGAAATCACTTGAAATGCGATCCTCATGCCTCAGCCTAATTTTTCTGAGCCTTGGTTTCCTCATCTGTCAAACAGAGAACAGTAAAACCTTCTTGGGTCATTTGTGAGCCGTAAGTGAGATGTTAGACCACAGTCTGATACATATAAGTTAATTTTTAGCTCTTCTCATCATTGGAAAGATCAAGTGAGAGGATGTATATGAGAGCCCTATAGGGGAGCTGAAATGGACAGAAGATCTGCATGTAAAAGGGTCAAGGAAATGGGCTTCCTGGCCCTGGTAAGGAAAAGTTTTCTTCTCTAGAGATCAATGACCCAAGGACAATGAGAGCTTTGTTTACGGTCACTCTTCTGCAAAATTCTAAGGTGCATAGTGTGTGATGACATGCAATACATGTGCACCTGAGAAATTTCCTAAAGCCATTTTATGAAAATGTAATTTTAATTTTACCATACCTTAAATTGGTTCACATTTAGGGTTCCTCTGACTCTGATGTGTCTCAGTAATATATAACAAATTCTTCCTTGATGATATAAATAATTGCCTGGATTTTTTATGAGTCATATTTGGAGGTAGCTCAGATTGCTCCCAAAATGAACCAATACATTTCCTATATAACAATAATAATAGCAGATATAATAATTTGTTGAGTATGTAAATAAACATATTCCAGAAAGTTTATTTACATTTCTTCATTAATTCTTACACCCCCACCATCAGGTATGTATTACTATCCCCATTTTACAGTTGAGGAATCTGAAGTTCAGGAAGATTAAATAATTTACATGTCTTGGAGCTGGGATTTGAATCCAAGTTTGCCTCAGGCAAGTTTTTTTCCTCTATACTACACTGTCCTCCTTCATGCATGCTTAACCTTAAGGAACCTCTAAGGCTGACAGCTGTGTATAAATCAAAAGTCTAATACCAGTATCTCATTTCATATATATATATATATATATATATATATTTCATGAAAGAATTACTTTCCCTGCCCTTGGCTGTAGCTGTGTTTTTCTCCTCTCGCTCTAGTGATTTGGATAAATAGGAAACTGCACATTAGGCCAAGGTCACATGGAAGGGAGTGGATAATGTAATTTGCAAAAGGAGAAATGTTATGAATAGCTGGTATTTTTAGAGCGTTATCTTTCTTGTTCACAATGGGTTGTGGTTTCCAGCCTGACTAAATGTAAATTTTAAAAGGTCTGAGGAAAACTAAGAGATGGGAAACTGATGCCAAGAATGAGGAGAAGATACAAGGCTCACTCATAAACCCTGTCTAAGAGGTCAGGGAGGGTGGCAGCTGTGATCTTTCAGAGTCCTGGCTAGAAAGCTCTGCTCACAGTGTTGCCTTGTTGGAGGACTCCTCCATGACGACGTTGCTCCCATTGGGAATCAGGACACGAAGGTGGGCTGCAGGATTCCTAGGGAAAGCATAGCCGTCTGGATACTTCCTTTAAACTTGTGATCTCATACCCGCAATGATCTCCCAGCACCACCCAGACATCCTACCATGATGTTCTAGCATGTCTGTTTTTCTTCTTTCTCGTAGAACTCTTTTACACCTCTCCTCTCTCCACAGACCTTCCTAGACCCCTCTACCTCTCACTCTCAGCAGATGACCTTGCTGTCTACTTCATAGAGAATACCTAAGCTACACTCCCATAGGAGCCCTCTCACTTTCCTTCACCAGATCTCCAGCCCAACAACTTCATCATCATCTTCCCTTTGTTACAAACAAGGAGAGATTCTCTACTTTTCCAAAGTCTGTCCCTGTTTCGTTTTGCAAAGACTGAGTTCCTTTGGGTGTCCCTTTCTCTCATCCTCTCTACTAGATCATTTCTACCTACCTTCAAATGTGCATCCTCCCTTGACCTACTTCAGCTGCACACTCCCTCCAACACACACTTCTACACTCCTTCCTACTCGAATTGCTGTGTCTGTAACTTCCCCTTTCCCACCTCCCCTTCTTTACTTTACATTCCAACCTGTGCTTGGCTCCCACCATTACATAGAGGCTCCTCTTGACCTCTGTATTATCAAATCTAATAGTCACCTTGTCTGTGTGCTTCAAACTCAGAAGTGTGTGGCACTGTTAACTCTTCCCGCCTTGATGTGCTCTTACCTCCTGGCTCCCAAGACTCCACCCGCTCCTGGGTTTCCTCCTACCTCTCAGGCTGCTAGTGCTCAGCCTCCTCTGAAGATACCTTCTTTTCCACCTGAGCCAAGTGTGGCAAAGCCTCATGGCTTGGTCCTGGCTCCTCTTCTTGTCTTTCCTCATATTATCTCCCTAAGCAATCTTGTCCATCCCCATGGCTTTAAGTAACATTTATGTTCTGATGACATCAAATGAATATCTCCAGCCTAAAATTCTTCCCTGACTCACTTTGATGAATTCAACTGTATACTTGACATCTCCTTTTGGATACCTCACAGGCATTGCAAATATCTCTTGTCCAAAAGTTAACTCCTGCCACTCTGCCTCTTTTTAAGTTCTCAAACAACTCAGCACCTTTTGTGTCTCAGAGTCTTTAAATAACCTGCATTATCTTCCTGGAATGATCTCTCCTCTGCTTTTTCACTGAGTTTTACTTTGTCATCCAGGCTGGAGTGCAGTGGTGCGATCTCAGCTCACTGCAGCCTCTGCCTCCTAGGTTCAAGTGATTCTCCTGCCTCAGCCTCCCGAGTAGCTGGAATTAAAGGCATGTGCCGCCACACCTGGCTAATTTTTGAATTTTTTGTAGAGTAGGGGTTTCACCACGTTGGCCAGGCTGGTCTCAAACTCCTGACCTCAGGTGATCCACCTGCCTCGGCCTCCCAAAGTGCTGGGATTACAAGCATGAGCCACTGCTCCCAGCCCTCTTGTCTGCTATTAATACATCTGACTTCTCATGCTTCAGGCCTGTACTTCAACTTTAGCACCTCAGAGAGGCCTTTTCTAACTATTCACTCTAAACACATTCTCTCCTTGTTATTTTCTGTCATTGTACAGTATTTCTTTCATAAAAGTTATAATTTGTAATTAATCACATATTTTTTCTTTCCTTTTTTGGGGTTTTTCCTTCTGCTAAGTTCCATGTTGGTAAAAAACCATTTCTTTATTTTCTAATGTGCCCCCAGCACATTACAATGTGCCTGTGGCTTATTTGAGAAAATAAGTGGATATTTGAAAAAATGAGTGAGGGTCTTCTGGTGAAAGACAACAGGAATGGAATGACCTTAAACATGCTGGTCTGCCCCCATTTTCCTCATCTCAGTGCTGTAGAGCACCCATTACAGCACCTCCTGGAATAAGAATAAATGCCAGTTTGGGAGCATGAGGAGAAGGAGAGCTGGTGAGGTATTTAATGGGCTGGGGACTATTCATGGACTAGGACCTTTATAAAATCTTGTCTCAGGGTAGAAGGATTGAGAAAAAATCTGAAAGCTACTGAAAAAGCCTGAGTTTCCTCACTCCTCATCAGGAATCGGGCCAAAAACATGGTTTTGTTTTTAGGCCTCCACCTTTTTCTGAAATGATGCCCTGTACTTCTCTCTTCTCACTAGTGGAAAGACAAATGGGGACCCAGATTGTGAAGCCTGTGCTCCTGCGCTGGCCCTGAGCTGCCTGGAGGAGCTTAGTCAGGAGACCAAGGCCAGGATGCAGGAAGAAGCCTACAGCAAGGGGTGAGTCAGACCTCAGCCACCCGGAGGGCACCTGGCAGGTCTCAGAAGATGCCTTCCCACAGGTCCTTCCCGTTTCTTAGAGGCTTTAGGGAAGTAACCAGTGGCCACAGGACCTCCTTGCCACGGGAAGGAACTACATTGGAAATAGCAAGACTGTTCCACAGGAAGGACAGGAGGAAGCAGGGTCAGAGGGTGTGGTTAGACAATAACGAGACTGCCCTCTTTTTAGGCAGAGAGCCACCAGAATGCCACCGCTAAGAATAGTCTGGAAATCAGGGGCCCTGGGTGGGTTCCTCTTGGTGGTGCCTGAGGCTTCCTGACACGTGCTCAGAGCAGTCATGTTGCAGCCAGCAGTGTCCAGGAGCAGCTGCAGCTCTGCTTCCTAGAACTGCTTTGGTTACTCCTTCCTCCTATAAATGGAGTCTCTTCAACTTCCAACTGCCTCCTCCTCCACTTGAGCTTCAGTAGCACCCATGGCCAATTGTCAGCACTGGAGAGACCAAGTCCTGAGCAGGGCCCAAGCCTCAAGGTAGAGAATGACCTCCAACCATGTATGGTGCCCTAAGCGTCTCCTGTCTCCATAGCTCATGAGAAAGACGTAGCTTCCCACTGACACAGAACCCATGGACTTCAGTGGTAGGTTTGCCCAGCCAAACTGCTAGTGTTAGACACTCAGCGTAGGACAAGTGAACAGAGTATGTTTGGGGTAATATTGATCCTGGGGGAGAAAAACCACAAAGGTTTCTCTTGGAAAGTCTGCCTTTTTCACCCACCACTGTCCTCTATCCTTGGAATGCATAGGCATGAACTCCTTCATTGGTTTTGTAAACATTTACTGAGTACCTCTCTAGGTTAAGCCATGCACCTGGCACTTCCAAAAAACATTCCAACACCCTGCGAAATGAGTGTCACCCTTCCTCTTTTACAGATGAGAGGCTGAAGCTCCATGGTCACGTGGAGAACAAATACAATCTCAGCCCTACAGAATGTTTTGTGGGTTAAGAACCCAGTCAGGAGACCCTGTGCCACATTTTTTCCCTGTCAGTTTTATCACACTTTCACGTAAACAGGAAGGATGACTGAGGAGTGAGGGGAAATGGTACTGGCACGAGCTGCCTTGGGATTCAGTGGAGCTTCCCAGCTTTTTCCTGTTTTGTGGAACCACAGGAAGCGCATAATTATTGGAGGTGCTGCTCAAGTCCCCTCCCCTAGGAACTCAGGAGAGGATGCATTGCACCTGGCCTTTCCAGACTCAACTGTTCCTTTTTGCCCCCCAGATTCCAAGAAGGTCTAAAGAAGACCAAAGAACTTCAAGACCTGAAGGAGGAGGAGGAAGAACAGAAGAGTGAGAGTCCTGAGGAACCTGAAGAGGTAGAAGAAACTGAGGAAGAGGAAAAGGGCCCAAGAAGCAGGTAGGAAGCCTGTGTTTGGAGTCCTTGCCATTGCTGAAATGGGTTACAATTCGTCTAATTTGGAATTGCCAGTCCAGGGCAGCAGTGAATCTCGGGCCCCAGTGAGTAGCCAAAGAAACCAAGAGGGCACGCATGTTGGGAAGGAAGTAGAGGAAATCCCAAAGAGCCAAGATAGCTAGCAATGAGAAGTTTGCAAGAGCTTGAGAGGTCAGGGGCAGTCATGGGAAGGGAGAAGGGCCCTAAGTGGAGTCCCTCCCAGCCCAGCCATGGTTAGCTCATTTCCCAGACGAAATTATGGGTAGCCATCCGCATGAAAAGGCCCAAGACCAAGAGAGTTGACTTGAAGGCCTGGAGTGTGTTTCTTACAAGAACAGGGACAGGGAGGACACATGGAATAGAGGGCAAACTCAGCTCAGTGGCAAAGGTGAGTCTCCAGCAGGTGCCTACCATGCTGACCAATCAAGCTTGGTCACCCAGACAGTGTTTTCACTTTAGTTTGGAAATACTTGGGGTTTTCTTTTAAAATACTTTCTATTTCAAAGGTACGTTCCCCTAAGTTGGGGGAGGAGAATATAACATGTAGATAAAGAGAATATAGACCTGTATCTTGTCCCACTTGTGGTTCCTGCCTGGCCTTTAGGATGCAGAATCATAGAAATGACCTCATTTAGTTCCAGGGCACTCCATGCAATAAAGTATTATGGGAATGAGGTCTCGCCCCACCTGGCCTGAATTATCCCGCAGAAGTACATGCTTAGGGATAGGATAAACTAGCACCCATAGAAGAGGTACACTCTACCCCATAGATACAATAACCATGCCAACATTCTGGATTTTCAGGACAGCCCAATTTCATTTATTCAGCTGTGTTGTCTCTATTAGTGTATTTAAACCACAAGTCTTGAATCTTGATTTTTTAAAATGTAGTAATAGCCACCTTGGAAAAACTTTACCAAAATATTTGCTTTTAGACCCCTGGGCTATCTTGGGGTCCAGGGCAGCTCCAGACAAAATATCTAACCAGCTGCTGAAATATTATCTAATCCGGGTATGTATCTGTGCCTCATTGCTGGAGAACTCTGGAAACCACATGCATGCAACAAATAGGTAATGAAGTGAAGATTAGAAGCAAAATGGATAGGCACACAGGAGCTACCAACAGAGCCCAGTTGGTGGAGGATTCAACTAAAGTGAGAGGTCTCCACCCATGCTAATCAACCCCATTGTTCAAGGGAAGAGCCACTAGGAGAACTGGAGAAACGCTTCTCCACTGAAAACAAATCACACACTGCCTTCCCAGTGAAAGAACCTCCAGGTTTAACAATTAAAGTGCAATCCCTACTCCAAGCAACCAGATCCTGTTCTCCTTAGGCCTCACCTCCCTCCTGAGGGTTCTCTGCTCGTATTTCTCAGGCCACCACATTGCCCTCCTCCCCTTTAATGCGGTCAACCAAAGCCCTGGACAAAAAGCCCTTCCTCTGGCACCCGTGAATACAGCAGAAACCAACTGGAACCTCTAACACTTCCAAACACTGAGAAAGAACAAAAGAGAAATAAACAGAGAGAGAGAGAGAGAGAGTACGTGGAATATAAACAGTCTGGTTTGCAAAGCAAGGGGATCAATGTCTTATCTAGCTAGTTCAATCTCAGGCAATTGTTGGCTCCCTCCCATTTCATGAAACCCCCGGGGAAGTAAGGCTTAGGTTGGTTCCTTTCTGTCCAGCTCCTGGTCATCAGTGCGTGGCAATGGTGCCTGTAACATTTATCATGCACCTGCTCTCAAACATGATTTCTCCCCTGAAATGTTGGTACCTCACTCACAAGCAAGGTTTGAGGTTATTAAAAGTTCCATGTCCTACTTAGTGCATTTTTAAAACACTGGGTTCAGCCCAGCTGCTGATCACTTAAGAGATTCAACATCACACATTAAAGTCTTTTTGTCTGAGTCACATATCTGTTATATATAACAATTTATATTACAAATATTGCTCTCCTGAGGATCAGTTTAAATAAACTTTGGGTGAACCCCAATATCTTAACCATATTAAAAGAGAGAGCACAGCCTTCTGACATTGAACAAGTGAGACTCATAAGGGGACAAAATAAAACTTTTGTCTTTTCTCCCAACAGCTGTTCAAACCAGCTCTGTGGGGTTAAGAGGACATTCTGGTTCCTTTACTTTTCCAATAACTCTCAAGAAACAGAAGTTTACTTATAACAGCCAAAAATTGACTTCTAAAGAAATTCTATTTCTAATCTATTTCTAACCTCTCTTATAGGCCAGGCATGGGGTGACCAGCTAAGGTCACACAGCCAGATCTTGGTCTCTTCCTTTGGAGCCACAATTAAGAGTGGGATTAGAGTAGGGAGAGGCCACTCCGGCAGCTTGTTTTGGAGGATAGAAATACAGCCCCAAAGTCTCCATTTTAGCATCCAACTCTGTCTAAATAGAATCTAGAGAATCTACAAAGGGCTGAGAGAAAAAAAGCTTCCACTTCTAAACCCTCCCTTCCCAACAGTTGTGAAAATAGTTAATAATTTTCAAATCAGCAAATGTGCTCACTTTCGTGCTTCCCTTAATTGTGACTGAAATGATCTGATGGGGTTCCCACATGGAAGAGAAACCTGTCAATGTTCCCTGTGGCCTTAGCATCCCAGGCAGGCACTCTGAGCATCTGGTCCCTTTCTAAGGATGGCATTTATTGGGTCTTTCAATCCATTGCAAGTCATGCATTTTCTGCTAGCTCTGAATTTGAGCTCTCTGCTTCTCAGCCAATGGCTTGGTCATTGCAGTGTGTGTGTGAGCCTCAGGATCTTCAGAAAGCACTTTCGTCTCTTTCCCCACCTCCTTGGTTTAGGAATCCTCAGTATTCTCATTTTTCATATTATTTTTTTAAATTGAATTAGAGGTTAAAAACAGCAGGAAATCCTAGCTTAATGAAGGGGCTCAGGGCTTCTTCAGAGAGCTCTAGAATGGACTTGTCAAAGCAGGCCATCTGCCTGTTGTCTTTTCACCACACCACAGAGAGAGAGAGAGAGGACAAAATGAAAGATAGTTGGGAAGGAATCAAGAGGGGAAAGGGGCAAAAATGGAGAGGAAGAGACACATGAAAGGGAAGGAGAAAGAAGTGTGGAGAGAGTGAAGAAAGAAAAGGAGGAAGAGGGAGAAATTAGAGAATAAATATTAATGAGGTCGAGATAACATCATGAACAAACCACCCAGACATTGCAAGAGGCTTCTAATCTTCTGCCTGCTCTTGAATGTTTTGAAGGGAACTCTTGAGGTTGATCTAGTCCCTTGTCATTTATCACTAGATATCAAGCTTCTTAGAGTTTAGCACAGTCCTTCCACTCTGGACACAGTTAGATGTGGAACTGAGAACAATGAATTATGCATCTGAGGCAAGGGACAGGTTAGAGCTTGGAACTGACCATTAATGCAGCTAGGTGCTAAAAAGACACATGGCCAGCCAAACCTATACTCCCAGGCTTGGGAGAGTGCAGATATCAGGAATCGCCCCATGAATAGATGAGGGCAAGTATGGATGGATGATCAAACAAGTAGGTAGAATGATCTAGACAAGTAGCTCTCAACATCAAGGCTGTGGACTGGTGGAATCAAAATCACCTGGGAAAATGTAGCCAATGATTCCTAGACCATAACTTTGGATATCCTCGTTCAGTATGCTTGGAGTATTTTGAACAATTACTGCCAACCTAATCTAGGCACAGCTGAGTTTGAGAACTATTGCTCAAGACAGCATAGAAGCTATCCGCAGGGAGAACTATGGGTCTGCGTATCATATGTGTGCCCCGTATACTAAAGCCTCTGCCTGTTTTTTTCATTGACAGCAAATTTGAAGAATTGGTCCATTTCTTACAAGTCATGTATCCCAAACTGTGTCAGCACTGGCAAGTGATCTGGATGATGGCTGCAGTGATGCTGGTCTTGACTGTTGTGCTGGGGCTCTACAATTCCTATAACTCTTGTGCAGAGCAGGCTGATGGGCCCCTTGGAAGATCCACTTGCTCTGCAGCCCAGAGGGACTCCTGGTGGAGCTCAGGACTCCAGCATGAGCAGCCTACAGAGCAGTAGGAAACCTCACACCTAGCCAGTGCCCTGCTGTGAGACACTCAGACTACCACCCTTTCCCTAAGTATAACGTCAGGCCCAGGTGTGGACGCACTGCCGCCTATCCCATCCCATCCCATCCCATCCCATCCCATCCCATCCCATCCCATCCCATCCCATCAGGTCATGAGGAAGGTTTCTTTTAACATTTGGCACTTCTGTGGGAGCTATTCATACACAGTGACTTGATATTCTTTGAGGATCAACAAAACTGCCCTGGGAAAGCATCCAGTGGATAAAGAAGTCACCTTCACCAAGGAGCTCTATTGGAAGGGAAGGTCTCCTGCCCCTAGCTCAGGTGGCTGGGGAGAACTAAAACACCTTCACTGGTGGTTGGGGGTAGGGAGCGGGGCATAGGGGAGGAGGAGGTAGCGGGCAGTAAAAAACTTACTCTCTTTTTTCCTCTCTGTAATCAGTTATCAGGAAGAATTTGCTTAATGATTAATACCCTAAGGATCAGACCTGGAATTTGGAGTTGCAAAGTGACTGTCTTCCCATTTCCCATCTCATTTTCAATAACTTCAGCCTCCCATTCTCTCCTTTGGAATGAGAGTTTCTTTTTACAGAAGTAGGAAAGGCTCTCAGAAAAAAAAGTACAGGCTGAATTTAGCTCAGTGCTTGAAATGGGAAGATATGAATTATTATATATATGCATCTGTCCACACACACTGTTGTGTACACACATACAACATGCATGTGCACAGAGCCAAAAACCCTTCAAAAGTGTGCTCTGGGTATGTACCTCTGGATAAATAAGATGCATGCCAAGCCAACCCACAGATTTTCACTAGTGTGGGGCAGTTACCAGACACCTGTTCAATAAGCTGTCCACATGGATTGAAGATGTTTTAAAAACACTGAAAACTCATGGCTTCAATGGCAGACTCACTAGTCTCCATTTCAAACGCTGACTCTGAGCTGCTGTACAGCACAATCTATTCCCTATTCTCTCTTTGAAAACAGTTAACCCACCTCACAGGTGAATGAGGAGAGAAGATGTGCTTTCTTCTTCAGTCTCTTACTCTGTGTGTGACTACATGCAAGGGTAAACTTGCACCTCAGTGCTTCAGTTCAAATAGGATTTCCAACCCAAGTATAATTGGGGATGTTTTAGAGCATCCCCAGTTGTTTAGCACAGAATGGAAAGAGCACATCCCCTCTTCAACTTCTCTCCCCACTTTTACAGCCACTGCCTTCATCAGTTTTGTAGGGGTGTTGATTTCCATGTGGGTTTTATTGTCATTGTTTTGCGGTTTTGTTTTGTTATTGATATTGTTTGCTTTCATTGCTAAAACTCATATATGACTTACTATGAACCAAGCACTGTTCTTAGTATTATATAGGCATGAATTCATTTAAGTCCTAAAGAAAAAGAAAAAAAATATGAAGTGGATACTACCCTTCCCATTTTCAAATAAGGAAACTGAAGCACAAAAAGAACAAGTAACTTGACAAGGACACTCAACTAGTAAATCATGGGGCTGGAGCTCAACCCCAGGGTAGGCTGGCTCCAGAGCTGTGCTCTCCTTGACTCTTCTGATAGTCTCCTAGCTGGAAGCCTCACATTCCAGTCTTACTCCCCAAAGTGGCCCATCAGCTACTCCATCTCTGGCTCCCAAACTAAACAGTTTCTCTCATAGCACTGGACCTCCACTCACTAGTTTTTCTCCAGCTGTTCTTCTCTTTTCTTCAGGTTACTCTTCTCGACCAAGTGCAAAAATTATCCCCTCCATACCAACTTTGATGACCTTCCTTCCATACTCCTTACCAGACACAATGTAATAGGTCACACTCTCCTCTATGTTTTCTGGCACTTTTTAAACATTATTATTATTGACCTTTACCTATAGTATATCACAGCCTATTTATTTATGTTTCCCCTAGCATTTTTCCTCAAAGACAAGAACCATGTCTTACCCATCTCTCGGGTGAGTGCCTAGCATGGTGGCTGATGCTTGGGAGCGTTGTTCGAATGTTGGTCGGTAAATATTGTTCAAAAGAACAAACAAACATTCAAGGTGGTGGAGAGCAGCCTGGGGACAGCTGACATGCTGCATGCTTCCCAGTACCACCACCATCACCACCATCACAATGCAAAAAGCAACATCTCTCTTAACTTCAGCTTATTTTGTTTCTCAGTCTACTCTGTGAGAGAGCAGGAATGAGACCAGACTAGCAACATCGTTTCCAAGCTCAAGGACTGGGCTCAATGCAGTCACTCCTTCAGAGAGACCCCCATCCCAAGGATGCCCCACTTTAAAACAGGATGTTTACCGAAGGGGGCATCCTTTACAGTAGCTAGAAAATGACTGAGGCCCAAGCCAGGGTTGATCAAGGATGTGCCATTAAGGTAAAGAGCTACAGAGCAGGGCAGAGGGACTTTGGAGGCACAAGTGGATGATTTTCCTGGCCTCTTCCAGGGGGTCTGGATACAACTGAAGGAGCTTTAGCTACATGAGGCCCTCAGAGCCAAAGACAGGATGCAAATGGAGTTCCAGAGAGTGGCCATGGAAGCAGGACTCCGGGTGGGGAATGTTCAATCTCTGCCTCTCTTATTGTTCACTTGGTCACAATTTTCCCACCTTTGTTTCTGGATGAGTAACGGCCAGGAAGGCAGATGTGGAAGCTCCTGCACCTCCAGCTGCCCCACAGAAAGGCCTGCAAGAGTACTTCCAGGCACAGGCCCTCTCCCACCCTATTCCATTTGTAAGAAGGGAGGTCAAGGAAAAGGACATCTCCAAAAGGGAGCATAAGAGTAGCCATATGTGCAAGGGCAAGACTGAAAAAGTGCTCATGGGTCTATCTTTCCTGGAAAGCAAAGACCAGCCTGAAGCAGTGGGAGCTGCTGCCCAAGCAGTAGTGAACTGGAGAGAAACAGGCCCTGGATTTTCCATGAGGATGTGGATCTGAAAGAAGAGTCGCCCCAAATGCCTCTGAAGTCTGACATCTCTGCTTAGCCCTAGGAGTCTGGTTCCCTGCCTTCAGTTGCAGAGTAATGTGTTTGTGTCATTGTTGATGTCACCTCCTAAAAAGACCTTCACTTTCTGGCTGCCACAAAGCCATATGTGTTGCTCCCCATATACAGCCTGACAGAGTAAATGGAGAGGGAGTGCTGGATTCGTGTATCACTGGCTGTCAGTTCCTCATGTTGTTAAGCCTCACACAGGTGTGCTAGCATTGAACTGTAGAGTGTCACATACCTGAGTTTGAAAATAAAAGCACATTTCCAAACCTCTGGCAGCAGCCAAATGCCTCCTCATTTTATGGAGCTGAGTTACAGTCTTACCCCAACCAAGAATTAGATGCCTTTGGATATATTAGTGCATCCCAGAACCAAGTCAGAGGTCCCCAACCCTTGGTCGTTGTACTATGGGCTACCTCACAGGGGCTGAATCAGTTCCTACTCCTCTTCCCTTCCCCATTCCTGATCCCAGTTTCCTGTATCTTCCTGGTCTATGATTTTTTTAATTAACACATTTTGCTGTGATTGAGTTTGCTGAGTTTTTAACCAACCTGATTTCCACAGCTGAACTGTTTTTTGGTCTTTCTTACAGTTAGCTGCAGGGGAATGTGGACTTTCCAAATCTAGTTCCCTAAAAATAAACTCTCCCGCCCAATACTTCACACCTTTTTTTACTCCCTTCTTTGCCTACCAAAGCCAGAGGATTCAGATGAGAACACTGAGACCCAAGAACATGGCAGAACCACTAGATGGAAGCTGGATGAATGAGCACTCCCAATTTTGAACTGTGACATGAATAAGAGATAAGATTTTTATGTATTAAGCCACAGAGATTCCAGAATGTTTATAATAGTTAGCCTACCCTACTAATGCATACATTTGAACCAGAAATTGGGTACTTTAATAGCAAAATTCCAAAATATGAGGTTCTAGCTTACCAGCTATGTGGCGAGAAACAAGAAAACTGCTAGAAAGATGGTAAGATGGTAAAGTCTTACCTGTGATTACTTGGAAAGCATCTCATGGTTAGCCTATTGCTTTATAAGTGGTGGAAAGGATCAGTGTTGGAGTACGGAAACTCGGCTGCCTTTAGCAAGGTATTATAGGAGAAATAATTGGCTATGTGGGAGCAGAAATGAAAAAGAATATAGAGTATTCAGAAATGTGAAAGATTGAAGGGTGAGAAAATCTGACAACTTCTAAATCCCAGACAGACTAAAAAGAGCTTGGAGTGGGAGCCAATAAAATGTCTCAGTCGAACAGAGCAACTCAGCCTTACGGCAAAGGCTAGATTAAGGATGTGGCCCTTTGTGAGTTCAAATGAACTTAGTGTATTCACCACTAAACTTGAGGGGTATGGTGCTGAGAAACAAGAAATACTTCTGGGAATTATGACTGGGAAAGGATTTGGGGTATGATTATTGGCACATGGAAGCAGAAATCTAACTTTGTGAGGAAATTTACAAAGAAACACAAGTCAGGACTAAAATCCTCTTTGATTGTTCAAGTGAGGAAACAGCTTTTGGGAGGAAAGAAAATATACCAAAGAGATACCTGCACCCTTATGTTTATTGCAGCACTATTCACAATCGCCAACATGTGGTATTAACATGTGTCCAGCAACAGATGAGTAGATAAAGAAAACATGGTGTACATACACGACGGAATAGTATTCAGCCGTAAAAAATAAAATCCTGACATTCACAGCAACAGAGATGGAAATGGAGGCCATTATGTGAAGTAAAATAAGCCATGAACAGAAAGTTAACACCACATGTTCTAATTCATGGAAGCTAAAAAAAAAGACCTCATGGAAGTAAAAAACAGAATGGAGGATACTAGTGGCTGGAAAGGGAAGAGAAAAGGAAAAGACAGATTTGCTAAAGGACATAAAATTAGGAGGAACAAGTTGTAGTGTTTTATGACACTATAGGGTGACTGTAGATAATGATAACATTTTCAAATAGCTGGAAGAGAAGATATTGCACACCCCGAACACAAAGGATAAATGTTTGAGATGATGAATATGCTAATTAGCCTGATCTGATCACTACATCTTGTTTGTATGGAAACATCAAAATGTACATGTGTATAATTATGTATTGATTAAAAATAAAATTTTAACAAAAGTTAAGAAGACTTTTGGGATCTTAGCTTATGCCAGCAGGAAGCAGACTGCAAAGGCTGTGCTATTCCCAAGGAGGGCATACTCCCTAATATCCACTTCAAATGTGGACAAGGAAGATTATATACAAATTAATCTCCCAGAGGGATGCAAAGGGCTGAGGAAAACAGTGGATGTGGGAGTTTCTCTCAGAAAGCAGATCAGAATCAAATCAAGGTTAAGTGACTGTGGAAGGCGGAATTTCTAGAATAGCCCTCCAAAAATGTCCCACCCCAATCCCTGGAGCCTTTGAATAGGAGCTGTCACTCTTGTTGTGTTACATTAGATGGTACAGTTGACCTTCAGATAGGGAGGTTATCCAGGTGGGCCGATGAGTCCTTAAAAGCAGAGAGCTCTGCTTGAGCCCAGGAGGTAGATGCTGCAGTGAGCCACGATGGCGCCACTGCACTCCAGCCAACAGAGCAAGACCCTGTCTCTTAAAAGAGCAGAGAGCTTTCTCTGGCTAACTGTAGAAGTGAGAGAGAGACTAGAAGTATGAGAAGGACTCAGTGCGTCATTGGTGCTTTGAAAATGGAAGGGCTGTGGGAGAAGAGAATGGTCCCCGGCTGACACCCTGCAAGGAAAGAGGGACCTCATTCCCACAACCTCAAAGAAATGAATTCTGCCAACAACCTGAATGCGCTTGGAAGTGGATTCTTCCCCAGAGCCTCTGAGTAAGAGCCCAGCCCAGCCAGCACCTTAATGTCAGTTTCTTGAGACCCAAAGCAGAGGACCCAATTGAACCCACTCAGACCTCTGATATATAGAAGCTGTGAAATGATAAATGAGTACTGTTTAAGCCACTAAGTCTATCATAATTTGTTGGACAGCAATAGAAAGCTGGCACAGCGGCCTTTCTCAGGCCTCTTCGTTGGTATTCCAGAAATTCTATGGCTGGTGATCGCTGTGGCTCTCATTCTCCTCCTTGACACAAAGCCTTGCCGTCCATGATTCATTCTTCCCCTTCCTGTCTTCCTTCGTTCTTATTGTAATAAGTGAACAAATGCTAGAAAGCTAGCTCTCTTTCGGGCATGGTGTTAGGTTTTAAGAATAATCACGAAGAGGCCAGGACTCTGACTGTCTGCCTCCCTGGTACTGTGATGATAGACTCATGCATGTCTCTGGGAAACTGGAGCTTGTGCTCACCCAGGTCATGAGGTCTGTATTGGAGATGTGTAAGGGCTGTTTCCCTGGTCTCTTAGAAGTTCCCTGCATTTGTTTAGAGCAGATTCTTTTTTTTTTTTTGATTGATATTTTTCACAAAAATATCTAACTTTATGACCAGTACCACTTATATAAAAAAGAATTCATTATCCATATACTTTTCCTATAAAAAACATTCATTTTGGAAAAATCTCATAAACCTTTGCCCAAGACATTGCTTACAAGCCGGAACTCCATAATTACCATGAAGCACAAACCACTGATAATCCAGCTAGAAAAACATAGAGTACACTCTGCTAGTACACAGCACAGATAAACCTCGTGTTCATCGAACAAGAAAGGTGGAGTCTCACTTGAATTCTGGCCTACCAGAATATTAAAGGAGTTATTAAGAGAAAGTTATTTTATAAAGCACCCCTGCGGTGATTACTATTGTAAAGTTAAAAATCCTTGGGGAAAGTGTAAAACGTTTAATTTTGTAAATTGCCCTCCTGGTTGTGTTATGTAAATGTGAATGTTTATATGTGCCTGGTTTCTTTGAAAAAGGAATCACCTGTAGTGGTGTAGAGATTTCAAATGTGTAAAAGGAGACTCAAAGGAAGGCAGAAGGTTCTAGACTCAGTATTTCAATGGACATTTACTTTCATGAGCTTCAGCATCATACCCTGCAGATCACAAGGCTGAACAGCTGGGTGGAAAAATCACTAATTGTGGGAGGAAAAGAGGCACGACCTATGCTCAGTCTCCTTTAGGGACAGAGATGTTTCTAGGAGTACATAAATGATGGACTCCACAGGCAGTAACAGTGAATGGTGTGAGAACTGAGCTGCTGGGGGAGGAGGAACGGCAGGGAATATGGGAATTGGGAGAACCTTTAGCAGTTCACACTGTGCTATCTGCCTTCCTCATTTGTGTGTTTTCTGAGTCAGCATTAGCTAAATTTTCCAGAAGACCATCCACAAAGTACAGCCTGGGCGTTCAAGGGACGTCACTCATTTCCCCCAGTGACCTTGACAAGTCAGAAGCTTGAAAGCAGGGAAATCCGGATGTCTCGGTTATGAAGTGAAGCAGTGAGTGTGAGCCTCAGCATAGTTCCCGAACTCTCCATCCAGACTAGTGATTGAGCATCTGCCTCTCATACCACCAGTGGCCGTCTGAGGTGTTTCCCTGGCTCTGAAGGGGTAGGCACGATGGCCAGGTGCTTCCGCCTGGTGTTGCTTCTCGCTTCCATCTGGACCACGAGGCTCCTGGTCCAAGGCTCTTTGCATGCAGAAGGTAGGTTTCTTACCAGATTTCCAAACTGAAGCAAGGCAAGATCTTGCAAACTGTCCTAAGCCTCCTAAGCTGTTGACTATGGATTTCTGGGAATGAGGGTGACCCTCAATGTCAACAGCAGGTCTAATTGGTGGTATTGCTCTGGCAAAAATATTTTACCATATTGTCAGCTTCACCAAAATGATTGACATTTACCTTTGTATCATCTAGACTTTTACTTTTGGTTATGGAATATTTTTAATGAGGACATTTTGAAATAAAACATTGAAGAGAAACCATTTGATTTTTACTCTTTTTTGTATGGGTGGTGTTTAAATTTTTTGTAGCAATGGGATCTCGCTTTGTTGCCCAGGCTGGTCTTGAACTCCTGACTTCAAGTGATCTTCCCGCCTCAGCCTACCAAAGTACTAGGATTACAGGCATAAGCCACTGCATCCAGAAGTAATAATTTTTTTAAGATTATTTATAAAAATTAAAAGTAATAATTTTTATTAAGATTTCATTGAAGAAGCAAACCATGATTGTAAAAAATGTAAAGCAATCACTAAGCTTGGGAATAATGGGTAACTTTCACTAAAATTGGCCTATTTGTATGTTTTTGGGAGTGTTAGCATAATTATTTTAATTTTAATTTTATCATACAATGAATGAAGTGCAATGTTTTCAAAAAAATAT